TTTCTTCATGCGTATGAGCTGGCACGTACAATTTTTCAACCGTTTCTGCCACGCATCTTTCCTCTACTGAGCCGTGTCTAATACGCGTCATTAAGTCGCCTTGCATCTGCGTATTTGATCAAAATCTTTTCACTCTCTCCATTTTTTCACTTCTGCATCTTCGTTTTTGTTTAAACTTTCTCTTTCAAATCATCTATTGCTGCTTTTGCGAAGCTTTCTGTAACCAGTTTCACTCTCCCCTCTGGTGAGGCTTCTGCTGCACTTCCTTGCTTACGGCCACCGTCTGATCCCGGCGAACTTTACTTTGGCTTCATTGCTTTACTCGTTCATGTCTTTTGATCATTTAACCTGTATCTTGAATTTCACCATGTACTGAACATGTACTGTCTTTGTTCCTTGTACTTTTTTGTTACTCAAACAATTTATTCTTCAATGTCAGGCCGAAGTGCCTTCTTTTCTTATCTGAATGCATTTTTTAACTTCTTCTTTCAAGTGTTTTAAATGTTTACCCTCTTCTTAATGCCTTGTATGATTCCATACTTAGAATATAATTTGCATGCCTTCAACATACACCTTAACTGTGCAATCTCCCCAGGTTAACATACCTCGGACAAAACTTCCAACCTTGCTTATCTCGGTCTCGGTTTAACACTTGAAAACATTGTAACAAATATTTTCACAAATGTTGCTTTTACTTCTTAAGACTTTTGTCTTCCATTATCTTCCAAATTTTGGTAACATAGTCACCTCAGCACGTGTATAGATACTTCTATAACCTTGGATTTAACTTCAACTTATAAATTTTCTCGAAATTTCAACAAGTGTTAAATCAATCTTCTTTCTCGGTTTTAACTTCAAATTGTAAATTCTCTCAGAATTTCAACAAGTGTTAAACATGATCTAGGTTTAACTTCAACTTGTAAATTCTTTCAAAATTTCAACAAGTGTTAAACATCATCTCGGTTTAACTTCAACTTGTAAATTCTCTCAAAATTTCAACAAGTGTTAAACATCATCTCTGTTTAACTTCAACTTGTAAATTCTCTCAGAATTTCAACAAGTGTTAAACATCATCTCGGTTTAACTTCAACTTGTAAACTTTTCTCAAGTTTCAACAAGTGTTAAACATCATCTCGGTTTAACTTCAACTTGTAAATTCTCTCGAAATTTCAACAAGTGTTAAACATGATCTCGGTTTAACTTCAACTTGTAAATTCTCTCAGAATTTCAACACATGATCTCGGTTTAACTTCAACTTGTAAATTCTCTCAGAATTTCAACAAGTGTTAAACATCATCTCGGTTTAACTTCAACTTGTAAATTCTCTCAGAATTTCAACAAGTGTTAAACATCATCTCGGTTTAACTTTAACTTGAAAACGTTTCTCAAGTTTCAACAAGTGTTAAACATCATCTCGGTTTAACTTCAACTTGTAAACTTTTCTCAAGTTTCAACAAGTGTTAAACATCATCTCGGCTTGTGAAATTCCAACTCCCAAGCATCATTTTTCAGTCTTTTGCCCTCTAATGTGAACTTAAATTCCACTTGGGTTCTCATTAGGCATGTGGCTTTGACCTTGATATTGCTCTATGGGCAGGGGATCTGCCCCCTGCATGGCTTCCACATACTCCTTTGTGAAAAAAAAAAAATATATTCTTTAACTTAGGCCAGACTTTTCTCTTCTCGGACTTAATCATCTAAGCCGATATCTTGTCTTCTGGGATCTGGGATTCCAGATCTGGAATCTGGGATCTGCTCACTTGGGCTAGGCTCTTGTCTTATCGTGTCCAGTATTATCTCGGCTTTGCTTCGGCGAACCATTTCTCTTTTCTTGTTTGGACGCCTTTGTCCCCGGCGTGTCTTCCTCGGCTCTAGCATACTTTTCTATTCTGGCCATTAGCTCCTCTATGCTTTTCGGCAATGTCTTTGCCAGTGATTTTCGAAGCAGACAGTCATCCTTCAAGCCATTTTTAAATGACATGACCGCCACCTCTTGGTTGCATCCTGGTATTTGGTTGAATACCTCATAATACCTTTTGGCATAGGCCCTACGACTTTCATCCTCACGATCTTCAGGGCCATTAGGGAGTCTACCCTCAATGACTGTAGTTTGTTTGTCACGAACCTGGCCACAAACATCTCGGCCAGGCCTTCCCAGGTTTTCACAATTCCTTTCGACAACTTGTGAAACCAGTCCGATGCAATTTTCCCGAATGATGAGGGGAACACTTTGCAGAGCAACGACTCGTTCCCAGTGTATAACGCCATCGCGTTCAGGTATAATCCGACGTGAAAGTTGGGGTCCGACTTCCCATCATATATCTGGAACCTCGGCATACTGAATCTCTTCGGGACCTCAACTTTGTCTAATTCTTCCGAGAACGACGTTCTCGGTTTGACAGGGAAGGTTACCTCGGCATCTTGTTGCTTCCTCTGTAGGTGATCTCTCAGATCCTCTTTGGCTCGTCCAAGGGCTCCGCTATCTCCGGATTTCAGCCTCTTTGGGGCACTACTTCTAGTGTCATCATGAGTCCTTTTGGACCTCCCTCCACTGGTCGTGTCGAAACAGAGTTCCTTCCCCTGAACATCCCGATGTTCTTTGGTGTAGGTTTCTTTTGTTCGACGTGCCTTCTAGGATTCTCCATTCCTGACCTCCCGCGAAGACCGGTGAGAATGTCCCTTGGTCCCGCCATGCTGAGGGACTGCAGGAACCATTTTCTACCCCCCTTTCTGGGCACCTTTCTTGGCCGCTGGAATTGACATATCTTGTAGCAGAAACGGTGGCTGTATGACGTTGTTCTGCATCATGAAATTGACGACCGTTTGCAAGTCCGCCAATTTGTCTGCCATTCCCTTTATCTCGTCGTCCCTCCGCAGGCATCTACCTTTCCATACCTGGAGGTCGTCCTCGTTATAATACCCGCTCCGGTCTGATTTCTTCGGTACGCCGCCCTCCTGACCGACGTCCTTTCCTCCATGATTCCTATCACGAGTCTCTTTGTTGCAGTTGTTTTCTTCGACATCAAGGTCAATATGTTTCCCACTCTCGGTAGGGGTGTCGTCCCTATCCTTCTCTTTTTGTTCGTCGTTGGCCATCTATTCTCCTTTCTTTCCCACAGACGGCGCCAAATTGTATGTGATTTTTCGACCACACTGTCAACTCAGTATTCAGCTGGAGAGCACTGGTAGAATAGATGGCACCTGTCTGACCTGCAACAGAAAGAGAAGATTCCGGTGGTGGTTCGTCCACCCAGGGGCACTCCGACAATCAAGTCAGTATATCTCTCAAAGATAATCAATAGTGTTAAACTCACTATTCAGAATATAAATTGCATACCTTAGACCCATGGGGGTGCCTCTCTTTTATAGCAAACTCAATCCTAGTCCCAATAGAAGCTAGCTCTAATGGACTTAAGATTACTGCTAATCTTGGACTCTCAGTAGGATTAGGATAAACTCTCTAAGAGTCTTATCTCTAAGAGTCTTATCTTTATCCAAACTGAAGTCTTCTCCTATTCTAGGACTCTTGTCCCTTATCCGTTTATCTTGGATTCTGGTATTGCCGCAGAATACCTCGGCAGTGCCCAAATATCTCGGCAAACATGATCTGCCCACGTAGCACCTCGGCTAACAACCTCGGCCACGTGGACTACCCAAAAAATATGTCTCCACAATTATCTTATTATAATTTTTTTGGGTTAAAATTCTGGTAAAAATTTACATAAAATCATATATAAAATACACAACATATATATTAAAATGTTAGGACAATAATGCCCTTATTTGATATTCTTATTTACACTTTACCACAACAACAAACAAGAAGGATAAGTACAAATAAAGGATCGTTTTAAAAAATTGATTAAAAATTAATTTTTTAATTTTTTTTTAAAAATAATATGTGAAAAAATAAAAAAATAATTCAAAATAAGTTAAAAATTAAAAAATAATTTCTTACTTTGTTCCAAAAAAAGCCCAAAATTAACAGATAAGACCTAAAACAATCAATGAGTATAATTGTTCTAAAAATTTAATAATTATATCATATAACTGTAAAGTCTAACAAAACCGCCGTCTTCCAGCATTTTGGCCAATTGCCACTGGCTGCTTATCCTATCTTCGCTGTGTAAGACATTCTCTCTGTCTCTCTCTCTCGGTCGCATGGCACAGACCATGGAGGGTCTTGTGCAAGGCCTCACAGCGCCTTGTAATCACCTCCTTCGACCACTCTACTGCTCAACAACTACTACTACAACAACAACAATCCTAGTATCACCCAAATCACGTAGACTACCACTCTCTCTCCACAACCCACCAAACCCCACTTCCTCTCTTCATTCTCTCCAACCTCCTTTTTCTTCTCCACCTTTAGCCTTCGGTTTATCCACACCTACCTTGCCCCCCTTTCGTTTTACTTCAACTGGTGCGTCAATTTCAAGTTAATTCCTTCTTTAGTTGTGTCTAATTGACTGTAAATTTCTCCCTGTTTATGCAACAGCTTCGTGGGTTTTAGTTCAATTCACCTGGAATTTTGATGGGGTTCTTGGGTTTGGTTCCGTATGTGTAGAATTTAAGTGGGTATTAGTCCAATGCTTCTGGAACTTAATGGGTTGAAATGGGTGTTACTCCGTGTGCGTAGAAATTGGGTGCGTTTTGTTCGTTTTCTTAATTCGTTAGTTGTTGTGAATTTCCTAATTACTCAAAAAAAAGAAAAATTATGTGCTTTTCTTAACTTGGCTTGGAATCTAATGGGATTTTTTTATAGTGCATTCTTATAATTTTTCTTCTACTTTTTGTTGTTCTTGTTGTTCTTGTTGTTTTGTATAATGGTTCAGTTTCTGTGCTGTCTATGACAAATTGTAGTTTATTTTGGAATTTGATGTGTCTAAAGTAAATTGTTAGGATTTGTTTGTTTGCTTATTTATTGATTTGTTATGTGGGGTTTGCTCAGTTTTACTTGCAACACCGGAGAGTCAAGTGAGTGTGGGTGACAGCGCTGAAACAAGTGAATGGGCAATGCAAGGTATGATTGTTTAAATTTAGTTTTTTTTTTTGTCAACTAGTCTACAAATTGTCTGATGACACAATGTTAGCTTGTCTGGTCAGATGATTGCATGTGCCAAACTTCTTCACCAATAGATAGATGATCTTAAGAGGTTATGAAAATTTAGGCTTGTAGAAATTGAAGATTGCTGTGATAACCTCGTGCCACTGACGATTGTAAACACCCATACCTCGATTGAAGTTTCTCTGTAACGACGCTATATTATTTGCACTGTCAAATTCTCAACAAATCTATCTTTGGGTCTTGAGTAGTTTTGCTGAAAATTGTGGGCCTGAATTGACTGTAGTGAAGGCCACTAAAACATGCATCAGAAATGACATCTTTTGTCTTGCATATGAGAGCCATATAAGCCGTTTGGTAAACTTGGCTTTTTGGCTTTTTTGACTTTTTTAGTAAGCGACTTTTTTGTTCGTTTGGTTTTTTTGTTTGGCTTTTTTGGTTTTTTTGCATTGGAATGACAAATATGCCCTCCACTTGGAAATGATGCTTTTTTTACTTTTTGTTTGTATATGGGTCAATTTGGTAATTTTGCATCAAAAGTCAAGTGTTTTGTCATTTTGTGATTTTGTGGCTTTTTTTTGTCCTTATGTGCTTATTTAGTCCCAATGTGTTTACCAAACCAAGGCTAAGTTTCATTTCAACTTGCACCCATGACTTTTCAACTTATCCCTGTTAAACCTTGACTGAACTAACTTTTGTTCTTGCCTATTTAGTTATTAACTGATTCAAGGATGCTAGAGAAAGGATTTGGTGTTTTGTCTTGTGGTTTATGTTGTGTTATATTTTTCTTCAATCTGAACATACTGAGAAGGTTACTTTTTTAGAAAGTTCTTTTTTTTTTTAATTATTTATTTTTTATTTTAAATATTGGATCAATATGGAATGAACTTCTAAGGCACCGTAGTTATTATTATTATTTTGTGATGACGAGGAACCTCCCCAAGGCAAGGCCCTTTGGACTCACCCTTGCAAAGTAAATCCTGGATACCCTGCAATCACTTGCAAACCACAGGTATTGGTTAAGCCTAGGAGAAAGAAACCAACGAAATTTGAACCCCAGACATCTGAGCTTATGACTCGCAGTAAAGCTAGGGATACTAACAAATATAAAAACAAAAATACCAACCAAGACACAAGACTTGCATGTGGGTTCCACCACCTGACATGACACCATCAAACATTTTGTCTAGTTGGTATATTTGTTGGTACATTTGTTAGTGTCCCTAACATTGTTGTTACTACTCACCCCAAAGTCCCTCAACAGCTACCCGTGCAGGCTAAGGCACATGTTCTGTGCATATACTTATAAATGAACCGTGCGAGTGCAAACAACTACAACTAGCGGATATCTTCAAGGCTACAGCGATCTTTATGAGCCTGCGATCATTAGGAAGGCAAACTAGCTAAGGGTTCTGTTTGAAAATTATGCTGTTTTTTCTTTTTCTTTTGAGAACCCTCTCCTTTGGGAAGCAAGGGTTGCATATGAGGAAACGTGCCAAGATCCTGAAAGTATTTAGGTCCAAATTCTTACGAATGTGTGCCACAAGAATCATTCTTCTAGTTGGTAGTCCCCGTGACAGTGCAATTACCGTGTCTTGATGATTGTTCACAATGCTGACAGATTTTTATTCCTTAAGGAAGGATGTTGAAAATACTTCAAAACGTGTTGAAGAAATCAGGGCCTCTGCTGGTCTAAAGCAGTTGGAAGAAGATCTTGCAGATTTGGAGAGGGCAGCAGCAGACAGCTCCTTCTGGGATGACCGTATTAGAGCCCAACAAACCCTTCTGTCTCTCAATGATGTCAAAGATAAAATAAAGCTTCTGACTGAGTTCGAAAACCAGGTCCAAACTTTTTTTCCTTTTGCAATTTGAACCATTTTCCTTGCTTTACTTTCTTTGAAAATTATAGCATTAAAGGTCAAAGCTTGTGTTTTCAAGATTTTAATGTCATCTCATCTAGTTACTAATTTACTACACTTAATGGCCCTTCATACTTTTGAGTATCTTTCATTTAAATTTGATTAGGCAGGCTAATTCTGGTGATGGTGATGGGTCTCTTCCTAACAGGCACAAAAGCAAAATCATGATAACACGAAACCAATTAGTCACATGGTGCATGTTAATGATTTACATATAATTTTTTAGTAGAGTTTTTGAAGGGGGATATATTTGGACTTCATTTAATATAATTCTTCATATTTTATCTAATATTGATATAATTTAATTTTATGGTATTTCAATGATTGGTAACTTTTAAGGTACTCTTATCTTTTACACTGCTCTTTCATGTCAAACATAAAGTTTATTTGCAAAAAATATTGATTGAGAATCATGGAGTGTATGTATACCAACAATTCAGAATTTCATTCAAAATTTCCACAATTTGTTATTGTTATCCATCGTAATTTTTTTTTAATAAATTTGCGAGATCAACATATTATTGGAAATATCTGTATTTTTCTGTCTCAGGGAATATCCTTTTTATTGATGTTTTGTTCCTTAGTTAGAACTTTGGGGCATGCTGTGTTGAATATGATACATTTAATGTATCATGCAGATTGAAGATGCAGAAACAATAGTTAAGCTTACTGAGGAGATGGAGAGTGTTGATGGTGCTCTTTTTGAAGAGGCTGCCAATATCGTAGGAGAATTGAACAAGGCATTGGATCGGTATGAGTTGACTCAACTGCTTTCTGGTCCCTATGACAAAGAAGGTGCCGTAATCTATATCACAGCTGGTGCTGGGGGTACTGATGCACAGGTAATTGCTGTTCTACCTGCCAACTAAAGAGAGTTGTTTTTCCTTTTCATTTTTGTTTTTATTTTTGCATTTCTTTCTTTCTTTTGATAGTACTGATCTTCTGTTCTTATGTACCTATAATAGGCCTACATTGGGCGTCAACACCACCCATTATACTCAAGTAGATATTGGCTTCATTCAGTAATTGGTTGAATTACCTTATGGGCTTTTATGGATGTTTACCTAACTGCGAAATGTGTTGATTCATGCGGCGAGGATCAAAATCTCATTTCCATGTGTTGTTTTGGTTAGCTTAGAATGAAAGCATTTCTGAAATGTGAGGGAAACAGCAAGAAATTTTGGAAAGGCAAAAGTATTTGAAAAAACAAACCTAAATTCTATCTAAATGCATATGTAACCTAATAGTTTAGTAAGGTTAAAAATAATTTTAAAGGAAGATCAAGAAATAATAAAAGATAATAAACTTTGGTTTTAAGAGTTTGGTCGAATAGTGGGGTTTTACATTATAAGAAAAAATATAGAAAATGTTAGATTCTAGAAGTAATAGGGAAGAGAGAAAATAACAACGAAAGAGAAAGAGAATAAATGACTCAACCATGTCCTCTTTCTTTCTCTATATCTCTCCTTTTCTCAATTATACTTTTTCATATTCTCGATCATTGTTTCTTTATTCTCCAATCTTCTTTACTTTTAATGATAAAAACTGGAAAAAGGAAACAATTTTGTTCAAGGAGCATGATATATGTAAAAAAATCATTGTTTCGATGTGCTGCGTAATGTTTTGATGCTTTTCATGATGTTTCTATGGAAACATTAGAATTTCGGTTTTCCAATATGTTTCACGTTAGTTTCCTAGGAAACAGAATCGTTTTGTCCGTTTCAGTGAAAAAACAAAATGAATTTTTGTTCTTTGTCATGTGGATTGTCATTTAGAATCATGTGAAAGGCCTGGATTAAAGTTCCTCTCTAAAATGGCTAGAAATGTGATCTAGGCTTCCCCGTTGTCTGCTAGTCTGGCTGTCTTACATATTGATCCAAAACAGATTGGCCAATATTGATGTTTGCAATTTTCATTAGTCTTGAATAGAGGAGGACGAAAGTCTCCTCGGAAAATCTTGGTGACATCTATTTGGGGAATAGCTACAATCAATTATTAGAAAATGACCCTTACCATCCATCCATTGCATTGATCCATTCAACTGAATGATATTTGGGGATTTCCAGCACATGAAAGTTAGCTTGGTCTACCAGGATTGTTCAACCACAGTTTCTTTTCCTCTCGTTTTCTTTTCCTCTTTTGGATGCTGGGTGGATTTTCAATAAGAGTGACTTCATTGGATATGTATTCTATCAGTTGTGTTCGTAATGGCCTCGTACTTTTCTTTTCTATTTTTATTAAATTGCATGTTGTTAGATCTAGATGGGATGAACTGCCAAGTCTCTGTGATTTATGCTCGTTTTCTATAAAATTCTTTGATAATTTTCCAGTGCAGGATTGGGCTGACATGCTTCTCAGAATGTATGTGAGATGGGGAGAGAAGCAGCGATACAAAACAAAAGTGGTTGAGAAGTCCTTGGGAGAAGAAGCTGGGATTAAGTCAGCAACTATTGAAATTGAAGGTAGATATGCCTATGGGTATATATCAGGAGAGAAAGGAACACACCGCATTGTGCGACAATCTCCTTTCAATTCCAAAGGTCTACGGCAGGTAACTTCACCATGTTATCATTCCATCACTATCAAAATATAAGCCATTCTTGATGTTCTTGAAAATATAGCCCTAGCACAATACTGGTTTAAGTGCGCTCACAAATAGTGCCTTCTTGGTTGTGGTGACAACTTTTTTTGCCATAATTTTTTGAAAAAAAAGTCTTTTTTAGTGTTTGGATAATTTTTTGCCATAACTCAAACTGTATGTTTCAATATTGAATTGCACACAGACAAGCTTTTCTGGTGTTGAAGTCATGCCTCTTCTTCCTGATGAGTCGCTTGATGTTGAAATACCAGAAGAAGAACTGGAAATCAGTTTTTCAAGGGCAGGTGGGAAGGGAGGGCAGAATGTGAATAAGGTTGAAACTGCTGTCCGAATTACCCATATCCCCACTGGCGTTACTCTTCGCTGCACAGGTTTTCTCTCCTCCTGACTATGTTTTTCACTTTTTTGTATACAGTCTAAACTGTTTGTGCCAAATATTTTTTTAGCCTTTTATTTGGTTGCACTTTCTGGTGAATTCCATGGATAGAATAAACATTGGCACTATGAAGAGTTAGTTCATTAGGGAAGTACGAATAATGTGACGGCATAATGATTTTATTATCTGCTTCCCGTTAATACCATCTCTGCCTTGATCGTGTCTCTTCTCTAGTGATATATGCATTTTCATCTTCAATAATCTCTCAAGAATTGATCGGTTTTTTATGGGTTTGGCTTCTATATTGATTGAAGGCAGTTTGTTATTTTTTTCCACAATGCAGAAGAGAGATCCCAACTAGCAAACAAGATCAAGGCTCTAAGCCGGTTGAAAGCAAAACTGTTGGTGATTGCAGAGGAGCAACGGGCATCTGAAATCAAGCAAATCAGGGGAGACGTGGTGAAAGCTGAGTGGGGACAGCAAATAAGAAACTATGTTTTTCATCCATACAAACTTGTTAAAGATGTAAGAACTGGATTCGAGACATCAGACATTGTTTCTGTGATGGATGGTGATTTGGATCCCTTCATCAAGACTTATCTCAAATACAAATACAAGGAAGCCATGTCCGCCATTGGGAAGGATAGAGATAAAATGACAACTAACACATGATGAAGTTCTCTCTGTATGTAGTATTCTAACATAATTCTATAGTTCTCCTTTTCCCTTCAATGGAAAGAAAATTTTGTATATATATTTTTTAATCTTGGTATCAAGTACTCATAACTGCTGGAGAGATCTGCCCATTATGTCATCCATACCCCTATTGAAATTTGACCTATATCTAACCATCAAATCTGGATCCTTATTTGCAGGCAAATATTTACCAATTCGTGGGCAATATTTTGAAATTACAGCTCAAATGGGAAGAACAAGACTAAGGATGGCGCTAATAGCCCCTACCTTTTTTTTTAAGGATCTCCCATTTTTTTTAACTCTCACTTATAAAATTTAAACACTGATTAAAATTTTAAGGACGATCCCATATAATACCAAAACTATCTCTCATCCAAAATATTACACACTCACATAAACTGTCATTATAACCTCGTATCGGCTCTTTGTTCTTCACCACCACCTCTCTTGTATATTATTTAAACACTTGTTAACATAGCGGACTATATATGTCCAAGAATTATATCATAGTTTTAAATGACATGCACTCTTAATCAAGCTTGTTTTTACTATGTAGGCTGTGCCACCTCTTTGAATGTTATTTTGATTGATGATGAACCTCAATCCATAGCATATTAGCAGATCTAATAATATTTTTGTATGCCTTGTGTTAGGGTTTAGGCTATGATTAGTTTGTAATACCATGTTTCACTCAATATTTTCTCAAACTTTTTGAGATTTCGTCTCTTTCATGATATTTGATATTCTCAGTATATTCATTTTCCCAACTGTAACTCCTTCTATGGCAAATGTTACCTTGACCAACCTCGAAACAGCTCTAGTCTGCTTCTTCAAGTTACTTGAAAGAATTAATGAAAATGATTTTATTATTTAAAAAAAAAATTTACATGTATAGCCTTGTTCTATTAAGATAAATTAATGAAAATGATTTTATTAGGAAGAAGATGGATTATGGAGGATGTAAGTGCTCAAGAACACAATAAGAATGATAGATCATAAGAGTTGGGGTTTTTTTTCCCAAATTAAGGCAAAATAACAACCTATTTTCCAAAGTAGGCTTAGTTTGGACGGAATTTCCAAACTAAGCTAAAACGCAGATACAAACCATGTTTTCACTGTTTTGGTGGTCCTCCCGTGGAAAATTTGTAAAATTTTAAAAGCGTAGTTACAAACCATGCTTTTAATTAAGAAAACATGGTTACAAACTACGCTTTTAAGAAAATTTGATTTATATATAAAGCGTGATTAGGAATCACACTTTTAAGTAAATTTTTTTTTTTTCCAGAAAACGTTGTTGCAAACCACGCTTTTACTGTTGACCAAAGAAAGCGTGAATGGTAACCATGCTTTTAACCAAAATGTAAAAATGTGTTTTGAAAACTTTCAATACAAAAATAAAACCAGCACTCGCACTCTTCTTTCTCTCTCTCTCTCTCACACACACTCACTCTCTCTCTCTCTCTCCACACACACCCACAACACTCACACACTCACATCAAAAATATATAATTTTTAATATATATAAATTTTATTTTATAAAATTGATACCAATATTAAATATATAATAATAATAATTTATAATAGCAAATAATAATCAACTATATAAAATGATTACTTTTTTACTTTAATTCTTAATTTTTTTTTATTTAGGTAAATTACACTGACACCCCCTGAGGTTTATATTTATGACAGTTCCCCCTATCACCTTTGAAAAAAAAAATTTATTGAAAAATAAATAAAATTTATTGGGAAAAAAATTTATTTGAAAAAAATTAATTGAAAAAAAATATTGTTGGTAAAATTTTTAAATTTTTGTTTAAAAACCAACGTAAACTCATTTTTTGAATTTACGTTTTTTCTTCAAATTTACAAATTGAGACAACCATTTATAAACCAAAAAAATTATCAAACAAGTTTTTATGATAGTTTTTAAATTTTTGTAAATATAAATTGAAAACTGAAAATGAAATGGTTACCAAACATGGCTCAGATGGTAAAAATATAGTAAAATTAAAAAATAATTAAATAAGTTATCAACGTAAGAAATGACTTATCAAAAGATTTTTAGACTATGTATGGTTTGATTTTTAGAATTTTTTTTAAAATAAAAAATTAATTTGGTTATAAAAAATAAAATAATTATCATTTAAGGGTAAAAAATTAGGTACATATGGTTGTTTCAATTTAATTTGTAAAAAATTATTTCTAACCACTCGAAAGATAAAAATTATATAAAAATGATTTATATTTACAAAAATTATAAAAATGATGTGAATGTGTGAGTATTGTGGGTGTGTGTCAGAGAGAGAGAGAGAGAGAGAAAGAGAGAGAGAGAGAGTGAGAAAGAAGAGTGAGTGCTGGCTTTATTTTTTTTATTGAAAATGTGTTTTCAAAACACATTTTTGCATTTTGGTTAAAAGCGTGGTTATCATCCACGCTTTCTTTAGTCAACAGTAAAAGCGTGGTTTGCAATTTGTATCCGCATTTTCTTAATTAAAAACGTGGTTTGTAACCATGCTTTTAAGATTTTACAAATTTTTCGTGGGAGGGCCACAAAAATAGTGAAAGCGTGGTTTGTATCCGCGTTTTAGCTTAGTTTGACAATTCTGTCCAACCTACGCCTATTTTAGGAAATAGATTACTATTTTACCTTAATTTGGAAAAAGCCCAAGAGTTGGGCGTTCAATTTGATTTGATGGGGTTTGGTGTTCAATTTTGAGTGTTGTTTTGATGAGTATGAGTATTTCAATTTATGTTTATTATAATAATTTTAATTGAAGTTATAATTATCATTAAAAAAAATAAAAATGGGCGGGGGTCCTTAAAAAAAGTGTAAGAACTATTAGCGCCACTCAATACTAATAGCAAAAAGGTGAGAATGGCCTTTTTAATTTGCCAAAATGCCCTCATTTTATTTTTGTTTCATTTTCTTATCTATATAACTTTGGCCGCCAGTTGCCACTAGCTCACCCCCCCGTCCTTTTTCACCACTTCAAACCTTTCCCCATACTCTTCATATCCACTTCTGCACACTTCTCCATATCTGTTTGCTCTCTTCCCTTTTCGCCCCAATCGTTTACTACCCCATCCAACAACCAAATTTGACCAAAATATCTCATTAAAAGTGGTGTTCTAAAGCATTACTGAGTTGGCAAGCACTTTAAATAAATAAATAAAAAAAGACACAAGTAGTGGGTCCCGTCCACTGTCACATCACTAGTAGTGCTTTTAGAGCACAACTTTTAATGGTCTCAAGCATTATTGTTTTGATAAATTGAATGAGAAATTCTTACTTAGTAAATTACTTTTGTTCTCTCAATTTTAATTATGATTTCAAAATTAATTGTCTCCTCTTCTTCTTTTTCTTCTTCTTCTTCCTCCTTCTCAAATTCGAGCCAAATTTGGCTCGAAACCTTTCGAGCTCTGTAGCAGAGCCCCCTTTTTAATTTGCCAAAATTCCCTCATTTTATTTTTGTTTCATTTTCTTATCTATATAACTTTGGCCGCCAGTTGCCACTAGCTCACCCCCCGCCCTTTTTCACCACTTCAAACCCTTCCCCATACTCTTCATATCCACTTCTGCACACTTCTCCATATCTGTTTGCTCTCTTCCTTTTTCGCCCCAATCGTTTACTACCCCACCCAACAACCAAATTTGACCAAAATATCTCATTAAAAGTGGTGTTCTAAAGTATTACTGAGTTGGCAAGCACTTTAAATAAATAAATAAAAAAAAGACACAAGTAGTGGGTCCCGTCCACTGTCATGATAATAAAAAAAACATCAGACCACTTTTAATGGTCTCAAGCATTATTGTTTTGATAAATTGAATGAGAAATTCTTACTTAGTAAGTTACTTTTGTTCTCTCTATTTTAATTATGATTTCAAAATTAATTGATTTGTGGAAAAATTATATTTGCCCACACAATTTTTTTTTTTTGGATATAAATATTCAAACAGGAGTTAAATTTTTAGACATAGATTTTTAAATAAAAATAAATTGTTCAAATATACATTTTATCCAACTCTTTATGTCTGAACAATTATCTTTTTGTTTAAAACTTTATTTCTGTTTGATTTTATTTTCTAGAAATTGTTTTTAAATAGATTTCTTTTATTTTTAGTGAATTTTTTCATATTTAAAAAAATCCCTTTTAAATAAATTAATATTAGATGAAAAAATTTAAAAATAAAAGCTAACGTTTAAAAAAATTCATTAAAAATAAATGGAAAATTAGATGTATTTAATAAGTGTTAAGTATATCTAAAATATTTAAAAAAAAACTAATATAAAAAATAATAAATAACCAAAAGCAAACAAAAAATTTCTTTAAAAACAAATTTTAAAACATCAGACCAATTTTGTTCGAAATTTTTGTGCATTTTTTTTTTTTTTTTTTTTTTTTTTTTGAGGATTACATTAACTTCTTATTTTATTATCACAAAAATACATAATATTGTTATAAATATTAACATTAATATTGTATTTTCGTATAAATTAAAAAAATAGCAATGTTATGTGTAATAATACATATTTTATAACAATATTATGTATTTTTTATGGTAATGAAATAAGAAGTTAATGTAATCCTCACCAAGAAAAAGGAAAAAAAAAATGGTGCCGTTTCAATAGCACAACATGCATAGTAGGGAGGGAATGACTGCAGTGACCCCTCATCCGTAAAGAATTACCCTAATTTTTGCAACAAAATTGATTGATATATTAAATTTGAGTTTGTTCGGATTAACTAAATTTTGTAAATTAGGCCATCTCCAATGGTGAACCAAACTTTGCATCAGATTTGAAATTTGGTGAAAAAGTCACTTTTTGAAACTCCAATGGTTTCACCAAATTGATATCAAAATGAGAACGGAACAAAAAATTAATTAATGTGAGAACATACTCCAGATTTCACCATTTCACTGTTCGTTACCGTTGAGGTGGGCCAACCGGTTGCCCGGCCGGTTGACTAACCGGTCGACCGGTTCCTTTTCAAATAGGTAGGTTCAAACCGGTCAAAAAAGTTCAAACAAGTAAAAAATAAAATAAAATTTGCCTTACCGATCAACCAACCGGTCGACCACTTCCCTTTTGATGTACGGTTGGAACAAGTCGTATCAGATTGAGAAAATTGACTTTTTTTTAATCAAATTTAGTAAAAATTTTGATTCACTGTTGGAAATACTCTTAGATAATTGATACAACTCTTGTAAATTGCGATCGTTATTCATATCAATTATGACACTTATGCTTGTAATCAGATGATCAATTAGACAACTAGCCGAATAATTGACATACACAAATCCAAACAATTCAAGAATGCTAAAAAACAATTCATACGTGCCAAAATTATATGAATGTATTGTTTTTTATGCAGCAATAGTTATAGTGTTATCAATTAGCGTATTATTTCGTTTTATGTGTAAGTTTTAACCAAAATTAAATGAAATTGTACGGTCAGAAAATAGAGTCGATGAACCCAACAACCAAAAAAAATTCAGAGGAAGATAGACAACAGGTGAAACCTAACTACAGACAATGAAGATGAAGAAGAAGAACTCCAACACTCTCTGTCTCTCTCTCCATTAATGTTTCTATATTCATTTATGGAAGAGTCTGTCAGAGAGAGAGACTAGGGTTTAACTGAAGAGATAACCCACTTGCGGTGTTAAAAGTGTATTTCAACCCTAATTTCTGACAATCAAAGCTTGTTCCAGTACTGATGATGAATCTCTTCTCTCTCTTTCGGCCTCTTCCTCAAGCATGACCTCATCATCTACTCGGTTTCACCTCTCGTCAAACCCTTCTCCTATTGTTTTTCATTATAATTTATCCACGTTTTCTACAATATTTGTTTAGAATTCTCATGGATGTAGTAGCCGAAACCTCACTTCTCAATCCACCCACATTCTTTACTGGTTCCAAACGTTCACTTCTCGTTCTGTATCACCGTCAATGTCAGATTAGAACAATATCCACTAAGAATTTCCTTAGAAATCTCCGTTACTCTTCTCGAATTCCAACCAATTGTGTGGTTCCGTATCGGAGCAGCGACTTATTCAGTTCGAGATTCCGAAAAAATGAGGCTTTTGATATTGTAGCTAAAGATAGTGAGGTTGTTCGTGGTGTTGAAGACTCGGTTACCGGTGTGAATTTAGGGTTTCTCGAGGTTTCTGTTGTGAGGCGGGGAACTTTGTTGGCTGCTACTGTTTTTACTGTTTTATTGTTTTGGTGTCGACGAGTTTTTGCAATGGAGGGTGTTGTCAATTTGGGTTATGGGGTTATAGGACAGAGAATCTTGTTGTTGAAGAGTTATTGGCCAAAAGTGTTGCAAGTTCTTATGATTTTCAAAGAGCAAGGTTTAGTTTTGGCTGCACTTCTGGGTCTCTCTGCATTTTTTTCTATGGCCGAAACTTCAATTACCACGCTTTGGCCTTGGAAGGTACAGATTTTATACTCCAATTGGGATATATTTTCTTATAAAAAAAATTGTTGGTCTGAAAATTGTCATGAATGGGAGCATTATATTTTTACATTGTGGTAGGAATTAACTCTTACGCTATGTTTGGATTGAGTGATTTGGAGAGAAAAGAAAAGAAATGGAGAGATATGTATTTCTCTTACTTGTTTGGATAATCTAAGTGGAGAGAAATAGGAAGAAATGGAGAGAAATTGAGAGAAACTCATTTCTCTTAAAGCCTCATTCTCAATCTTCCTAACACTATGTTTGGGAACCTAGAAGAGAAAAGAAAAGAAATGATTACTTAAGTAATAAGAGAAAAGAAAAGAAAAAAAAAGAAATGATTGTGATTTCTCTCATTTTTGTTTGGATAAGGAAAAAATAAAAGAAAAAAAATGATTGTGATTTCTCTCATTCTTGTTTGGTTAGGTTTCATTTAGAGAAAAAGAAAAGAAAAGAAATTATTTTATGTTATATTACCAAAATAACCTTTTTATATTTCTAATCATTTTATTTCTTTTATTTTTATAGGGACAAAATAGGTATTATGAAAATAGTGGTTTCTTTTCTCTCCCAATCTCTCCACTTTTGGGAAGATTGAAAATGAGCCTTATAAGATAAATGAGTTTCTCTCAATTTCTTTCCATTTCTTCTCATTTCTCTCTACTTAGGTAATCCAAACAAATAAGAGAAATACATATCACTCCATTTCTTTTCATTTCTCTCCAAATCACTCAATCCAAACATAGTGTAAAAGTGGAGAGATTGGGAGAGAAAATAAATCACTATTTTTATAATACCGATTTTGTCCCTATAGAAATAAAATAAATAAAATGATTGAAAATATAGAAAGGTTATTTTGGTAATATAACATAAAATAATTTTTTTTCTTTTCTCTTAATGAAATCTAACCAAAGAGGAATGAGAGAAATCACAATCATTTCTTTTCTTTTATTTTTTCCTTATCTAAACAAAAATGAGAGAAATCACAATCATTTCTTTTCTTTTCTTTTCTCTTATAACTCAACTAATCATTTCTTTTCTTTTCTCTCCTAAGTTCCCAAACATAGTGTTAAGAATACAAGTTGTTGAGTTTTTGCCAATTTCCGGTTGTTTGTACTTAATACAAGTTAGTTGAATGAAAGCACTTTTTAATTAACTTTATTTGCAACAGCTTCTCATGCCTGAATTTTGTTGTTAGTTTTTCTAAAGAAATGGTAAAATGTAATTGGTAAACTTATATTACGTAATTACTGGAGACCAAGGGTTGGCTGGTGGATGAAATGCTACTCTCTATAGGGGTTTGATGCCCTGGTTCGAGTGTCATTGCTATGTGATGGAGTTTTATTTTCTCTTAATCTTATTACCCTCTTGCTGACTAAAAAAAAGAATAAAAATTATTGCATTTACTGGTCAAGATGCCTTGTTTCTTCTATAGTCTGATGTTGGGAGAATTAATGTATGTTCCCCAACCAATTAAGATGTTGGAGAAAATGCAACACAAGGTTCTTTAAGGGGCAAAAGAACCTCTTTTCGCTTTGAAGAGTAGAAGCTTTTCTTCGCTGTATGTTTGATTTTTGGGTGTACTTGAGCCATCTTTTTTTTTGGGGTATAAATAATCAAATTTTATTAGAAAACCATAAAGATGATGCAAAGAATACAAAGAAAGAAATAACAGCCCACATCGCCCTCAACAAAACTAACTAATCAAATCATTCACAAAGTTTACAAAAGCCAAAACATCAAGATCAACCGAACCCGTAACCCAAATATGCAATACCATGAGAAGCCTGCTTTCTAACCAAAGAACTAAATGGCACATATCTTGAAAAACACGCCTATTACACTCCAACCAAACCAACCACAATAAAAAATAGGAAGCAAATAACCAAGCCTTCCGATGCCTCTTACCCACCTTTGCCCCATACCCACCTTTGCCCCATCACACCCAACACCGACCCCGACTGCACCCAAACCAACCCAAATAAAGCAACAATCAAACTCCAGATCCGAGACACAATCGGGCAATGAACAAGCAAGTGATCTACCATCTCCGCATCCCTACAACGCATACAATACCAATTGACTAACACATGTCGCTGCAAAATTAAGTTATCAATAGTCAGGATACGACCCAAAGTAGCTGTCTAAACAAAAAAACTACCTTAGACGGTGATCCCACCGCCCAAATATTCTTCCAAGGAAACACGACAGCATCACCCCCTACAAGTGCCCCGTAAAATGAGGACCGCGAAAATCCCTCTAGATCTTGGACCCTTCCACACCAAAGAATCCACCCCATTCCCCCATGCTGCAACCCATACAAAAAACTCAGAAGGTCCACCAATTGGTTCAATTCCCAATCTTGCACATCACGTCGAAGATGAATATTCCAAACAAAAGACTACCCTTGCCGCGCCTTAACTGAAGCAACCAGCTCCTTCGCATCAGCTGCAATAGTATATATCAATGGAAACATAGACACCTCACCACACCACCTATCTTGTTAGAAAATGACCCAATCCCCAACCCCCACTTTGAACTGAACCCTATCCCAAAAGTTCTTCCTCCCCAACCAAATCCCCTACCACATACTGCGGCCATAAGATTGACCCACTCTATTCGAGCACCAACCCCTCCTATCCAATCAACCCCATACTTAGCCACCACTACCCTCTACAAACGCTCCTTTCCTCTACAAAACGCCACGACGACTTCCCTAGAAGAGCTTGATTGAACACCACCAACCTCCTCACTCATACGCACCCCTCTCCTTAGGAGTACAAATTATCTCCCAAGCCACCAAATGATAATGAAATCCCTTTCCTCCACCATCCCATAAGAAGTCCCTTTGCAGCTTCTCCAACCTCTTTGCCACGGCCACAGAAATTACATGCACAGATATAAAATACGTCAGAATACTAGAAAGGACACTCTTAATCAGAGTAATCCGCCCCCCTTTTAGACGAGTACTGTCGCTTCCATCCCGCCAGTCGCCGCTGCACTCTACCCACTTAGGGTTGCAAACGAGCCAAGCCAAGTTTTGCTGAGCTCGAGCTTAGCTTGTTTGTTTATCAAGCTCGGCTCGATAAGTAATTAGGCTCAAGCTCGACTCGACTCGGCTCGACTCGTTAATATTAATGAAACTTGAGCTCAGCTAGGCTCGGCTCGATAAGATTTTTTTTGATATTATTTACATTATTTAAATAAAAATATTATTAATATTATTTAATATATAAATAATATATTTATTATATAATTTAAATAAAGATAAACAAGCCGTGCTTGACGAGCCGAACTTATTCGAGTTCGAGCTCGGCTCGTTTGCTAAATGAGCTTAATATTCGAGCTCGAGCTCAAGCTGAACCCTTAACGAGTCGAACCGAGCTTGTTCATGAACAGTTTGGTTCATTTGCAACCCTATATCCACTACCCCAGCCCACACCCCTGTCTCCTAAAATTAGCCCCTAAGGAAGTTCTAAATAAGAAATGGGTAACATAGCCACCTTACAACCCAAAACAATTGCCAACACCGAAATACGCACCACCTCACCCGCTAGAATCAACTTCGACTTTGCCAAATTAACCCGAAGACTTGACACAACCTCAAAGCATAACAACACACACCACAAATTACCAATCTGAACTGCATCCGCATCATCGAAAATCAACACATCATCAGCATAAAAGAGATGAGAGATCACCAAAGAAGTAGGCCCTTTCCCCACCTCAAAACCCAATAATAAACCCCCTTGGATTGTTCTGGATAGCAACTGGCTTAACGCCTCCATAACCAGAATGAACAATAATGGAGACAAAGGGTCACCCTGCCATAAAACTCTCCAAGTAGGAAAGAAATCCGCCAGCGTCCCATTGACCAAGACCGACATCCGCATAGTAGAAATACAAAATTGGATCCATCTCCTCCACCTCTCCTAAAGCCCATCCTCTCTAGCACATACAACAAAAACTTTCAATTTACATTGTCATAGGCTTTCTCAATAGCCAACTTGTAGATTATCCCCTACTTACCTTGCCGAAGTGGCGAATCCACACTCATTGGCCACAAGCACAGCATCCAAAATCTGTCGACCACCCACAAAAGCATTCTGAGACTTTGACACCACCCCTTCCAGAACCCCCATAAAGTTTATTGGCCAAAACTTTAGCCAATAACTTATAAACACTACCCAGAAGACGGATAGGCTGAAAATTTCGAATATCCTCCGCCCCACCCTTCTTGGGAATCAGTGCTATAAAAGTTGCATCGAGACTCTTCTCAAACTGCCATGTTTGATGAAATTGCTCAAACATGGCCATCACCTCCCTCTTTACCACCCCCCAACATTGTTGAAAGAAAGCAATAATAGAAAAATCATCCGGTTCTGGCGCCTTGTCCCCAGGCATGATTCTCAAGGCATGCCTACCAAGAAGACTGATAGGCCGAAAATCTTGAATATCCTCTGCCTCACCCTTCTTGGGAATCAATGCTATAAAAGTTGCATCGAGACTCTTCTCAAACTGCTATGTTTGATGAAGTTGCTCAAACATGGCCATCACCTCCCTCTTTACCACCCCCTAACATTGCTGAAAGAAAGTAATAAAAAAACCATCTAGTCCTAGCGCCTTGTCCCTAGGCATGCTCCTCAAGGCACCCAAAACCCCCTTCTCTGTGAATGGTCTCTCCCAACAACAAACCATCCGCCTTGGAGATAGTACCAAATTCCACACCATCCAACCTTGGTCGCCACACCTCCTCTTCATCCCAGAAGAGATGCTGATAGAAGGCCACTATGCCGTCTCTAATATCCTCTTCTGACGAAAGTATCACCCCATTCACCCGCATCTTCCCTATTTGATTTACCCACCAATGAGCATTTGCCATATGATGAAAATTTTTTATATTACGGTCCCCCTCTTTCAACCACAAGCATCTGGATTTCTAAGCAACCTGCGCATACTCTCTCTGAGCCCTATCTCGACGTATCACATCTGCCTTAGACAGACCCCCCTTGACTTCCTTCACGTCCAACCCGGCATATCTAACAAGGCATTCACCTTTTGAGCCTCCAATTGACTAAAGACCTCCACATTTGACCTCTTCAAATCATACTTAAGGACTTTTAGGTTTTGGGCTAATCTGCAACTTGGCATCCCTACCACACTATAATTCTCCCTCCCACCCACCATCCACCTTCTTTATGAAACCCTCTACTTGTAACCACATATTCTCAAATCGGAAAGGTGATGGACCTCTCTAAACTCCCCCACTATCCAATAAAACTGGCCAATGATCAGAAATCGGACGCTGCAACCTCAATTGAATCAACTAAGAGAAATGCTCCTCCCAATCCCCAATGACAAGGAATCTGTCAATCCGAGACATCGCCCGACCTCCAGATCAAGTATAGCCTCCCCCTTGCAACGGCAAGTCGACCATCTCCATCTCATCAATAAAAGAAGATAATGCCCTCATCGGCCCCACCACCTGACTCATCCCAATCTTCTCCTCCGAACTCCTTACAACAGTGAAGTCACCGCCAACACACTAAGGCACCCCCCATCGAAACGCGACATTCTGTAGTTCCTCCCAAAAGGCATCCCTCTGCGCCCCCCTCACCGAGCCATACACCTTAGTGAACACCCACCGAAAGTCATCATTAACACGTCTGAACAAACAAGATAATGAGTAACCCCCTACCTCTTCCCCCTTCTTCAACACCACCCTACTATCCCAACAAATGAGTACACCACCAGCCGCCCCTAACGCTTGTTGGAAAGCCCACTCCACATGCCCTCCCACCCCACAACTCCCGAACTACCCCGCCCCATCAGACTCCATTTTGGTCTCCTAAAGACACACCACATTCGCTTTAGCACCCTTCAATAAAGATTTAATCACCACCTTTTTTCCCTTGTCATTTAAACCCCGCACATTCCAAGTCAAAATTTTTAGACGCATGGCAACAATAGTGGATCTCCACTCCTTCCTCAACCACCGCCTCTTGCCTCCATTCATGTTTCGATCATAATTTATTGAACACTCCAATCATCGTAATTCCCAAACCCTTTATTCTTTTGGCTAACAACTTGCAGCTCCTGTCCACCTGATACACCCCCTTTCCATGATGCCTCAATTGCTGAAAACAACTTCAAAGCCTCGTCCTTCTGCCACTCAAAAGAGACTCCCAAACAATTTACTAACCTCAGAAATTCGAGCCAACACCCAGTTAAATACCTCATCCGAGTCCAGTGGTTTGGAAATCTTCCTCCAACTCTGCCTCCGGGTCTGGAACCAAGCTTGGCAAGCCATAATCCCCATCGCCGATCTTCACAGGCCGAACCACCATGGCCAAGCCCTCGCCCAAATCTAGCCTCATCCACAACCCCAGAAGTCCCATGACTCCCTGGACTTGAGCCATCTTTGAACCAGATTTTAATTTTTTTAGAAACATTTTAGTAGAGCTTGTTTAGTTTGGTGGTTGTATTCTTTGTTGTCCCCATCTTGTAGTTTGGGTGACACCCTTTGGTGCCTTTTTGTCCAAATATATCTATATATATGAAGTAATGTGAAGCTGAACTCAAGGTGTTCCTATGTGATGTGGTGGAGGGTCATTCAGATATTGGCTTTACAAATTCATGTTTCCTTTTCGTGTGTGTATCAAGAAAATGTTAGTTTTTTTGTTAAGTAACCAGTAAAAATTATTTAGTTTCTGCACGAAGGAGATCAAAAGATTTGAAGTTTTATTGGCTGGCCACAAGCTCACAACAACCAATGGATTTAAAGGTGATAGGCTGTTAAAATTTCGTAACTGTGGCAAGAATTTCTTACAACTACTATTTTGGGTAGTGGGTGTTAAGGTGTACAAGGTAGGGAGAGAGCTGAAGTTAAGTAATTAGGTTTTAGGTTGAAAAATCAAAGGATGGCGGGGCTAGTTGTGATTGACTAAAAAATATGTCTGCATATTATGGTGTAGGATAATATTCAGTACTTTAATAGCAGTTCACAGCATTTAATTTGCAGTTAAGGCTTAGAATGGGCTGTGGTTTTAAGGTTTTTTGAAGATAGAAGGGATGGATTATTGTGCTTGTAAAAAAAGGGATGTATTATTGTATGTAAACCACCATTGGGTGGTTTTTGTAGGCTGCTATTCTCTTTACATGTTCATGCAATTGGGTGTTTTTATATTTATAGGCTACTATTATCTTTTCATGATCATAGAAAAGAATCCAGCCTGTCGAAATTTTGCCATCTTGTGTGCATGTGCACATGTGCGTGTTGTTCTTTTCTTCTAAAACCAGCAACTTGTCATTTTTTTGATATTGATGTATACCAGGTGCGAGAGTTGGCCGAGAAAGAGCCCGAGGATGGTGTCTTCAAAATGCTTCGCAGTGATGTTACTCGGTTCCTAACAACTATACTTATTGGCACAACGTACTGACCTTCCTATACTTACAATCATCATTGATACTGTTCTCTCAGCTTGTATTTGAATATTGTCTTATTGTAGATTTTATTTATGTACAGTGTGGTAAACATTGGAGCAACTGCACTTGTCACAGAAGCAGCAACGGCAGCATTTGGCGAAGCTGGTGTGAGTGCAGCAACTGGAGTGATGACGGTATGCCGCAGTTTCCTTGTTTGATTAGTTGAAGAACCTAAATTCAATGGCCAAAAGTTTGACATACTAGACACTCAAACACGCTATCATTAGTGCTTCAGGCCATAGAAACTTATTCTCTAAATGTCAAATCCACATAGTTGTTAGTGAGTAATTTAGAATCTGTCCGTCTAAAGTTGCTGAGATTGTATTTGTTATAAATGCATATTTTTGCTTTCTTGTTTTCTAGCTAGTAGTTAGGACCTGCATATGATCTGTGCACCTCTCTCTCTCTCTCACACACACACACGTGCGCGCGTGGGCGCACACACACTCCCGAAGGCATTTTAGAAGTTACTGAAACTCAATGATACAATACAAGCGATTCCTTTTTTTTTTGGTTTTTCGTTTTTGTCTTGTTGGTATTTTTTTAAATATTGAATGGGAGTCTATTGCCACTATGTGTTTTAGTGTTTGAAACTCATTATGAAATTGAAATTCTTCCAAATTGAAATATTTGCTTTTACTTGTATGTCAAATCTTTCTTCATTATGCATTCACAATATGGAGCAGATTCCTGCCATCTGTTGTATGAAATCTTTTGTTTGGATACAACAACAATGACATCTGTGTGTAATACTAGAAACTTTTGTTCTTGTTTAGGCCTGATTAACTCAATATGCATTTTTCTTCCTTTGGTTGGGCATTACTCTGATTACCATACTGAGAGATGCACAAAGATAGGGGACAGGGTTCAATTGTTCACTAGGATGCAGTCTGAAATGATAGTTCTTATTTTATTTATTTATTTATTGATAAATTGAAATGATAGCCCTTATTCATCATATAAATGAACCAATGCTGTTCTTCTAGGTTATTATAGGCTGTATATAAGCCTAATTCCTTGAAAATCTAATATGATCAGTTGATATATCATGGTCTCCAAATGAATCTTCTTTAGTGACTCCTCTTTTGGTGCAAAAATGGAAAAATTGAAATGCTTTGTTTTCAGTTTAAATTTTAACCCTTGGCTTCATAAAATTATTTTGTCAGATGTTTGCATACACATACATGTGGAGACACATTTCTATATTGATTCACTGCAGGTCATTAAGCCATATATTTTTCTCTCAATGATATCAGGTTGCTGTTTTGCTCCTCACTGAAATTACTCCGAAAAGTATAGCTGTACACAATGCCACTGAGGTTGCTAGGTTTGTGGTAAGTCTAGAAGTTTTTTATTTTTTTATTATTATATTGAACCAAAGATCACGTAGAGTTGCTAGACAGTTACCGTAAAACAGTTCATATTATCTCCTATGCGATGAGTTGATGTCAGTGCTTTTAAGTTAACTTAACCAGTGTCACCTGCAATGATTCTAGGTCAGGCCAGTGGCGTGGCTTTCCTTAATATTATATCCTGTGGGAAGAGTTGTTACATATCTATCAATGGGAATGCTAAAAATGCTCGGTCTGAAAGGAAGAAGGTGTGCTTTATCATGAACCTGCTTTGATCTTTTTTTTACTTCTGTGCCATGTTGTATTTCGTATCTTATTGAAAGAAAAAATAAGTATTTGTGGTCCTAGCTGCTTTTGATAGTTTTCTTTTGGTCCTTGGGATCTGTTGTTTAATGGGTGATGTTTCCAGTTTTCAATTTTTTCTATTAGTATTTTCTTGGATTTTTTTATAAAAGGAAACTTTTCATCAGCAATGATTTATTAATTTCAAGGATTTTGGTGAAGAAAAAATAAATTTACAAAAACCATGAATAAGATATATACTGTAGGATGTCTTGATAATATCTTAACTTTTGGTACCTTGAAATTTTTATTATTTGTGTTTATGAGCATGCTACAGTTGTTTGTGTGGTGTTTTGCGTAACCAATCATGTAAATAGTGAATGTAAGCAGTATGATAGGATGTAACATGCAGGACATAGTTATTGTCAATGGTGTGACAGAGCAAACATTCATTAGCCTTTCTCAAGTTGTACAGCTTTCCCCTGTTAAATTTTCCTTTGCAGTAATGATAGTGTATTAGTGATGATAACAATAAAAGTCCTTATTGCTTTTTATCAACCATTTACTGTTAACGACCATGAGTCCCATTCTGCTCTTTCTCAACTGTTTATATTCTTATCATTTATTTTTTGACTTCCTATATGATGTTCTGTTCTGCTTATTTTCAACTTGTGGCTAGTTTTTTCTTGGATTCTCAATTATAAACTCCCAGTGTTACTGGTTGACAAAATTTTCTTGATATTGTGGCTATGAGATAATGCTGTTAATTGACCTTCAATTTTGAGGTACCAGTGAGCCATATGTTACTGAAGATGAACTGAAGTTAATGTTGCGAGGAGCAGAATTAAGTGGGGCAATAGAGGAGGAAGAACAGGTAAAGGAATAAGTTTCTTTTAAGTTTCCAATGTTTCTGCTTTCAGTAAATGTTCTGAAATACAATGTCACCTGTAAAATACATCAAACTGACATATTTGATATGCTGGCGTGACAAAAATGGAAAACGCTAAACATACAGAATCTTTATACAAATAAAATAAAATAATTTTAAAAAAAAAAATCATACAGGATATTTGTACCTTTCAGAAAATCTTTGTAGCATGTACACTATTTATATTTTCATTTAGAATGGACTAAATTCTGAGAAGTCTATTGCAGGATATGATTGAAAATGTGTTGGAGATAAAAGATACCCACGTTAGAGAAGTAATGACACCTCTTGTGGATGTTGTTGCCATTGATGCCAGTGCAACACTCGTTGATTTTCACAACTTGTGGGTGACTCATCAGTATTCTAGGTATGTCAAACTTGCTATCTGTTTGCATATGTTATGTAATGATTCTTATCAACATAATAAAAATAGTCTAAACACATTCATAGGGTGCCTGTTTTTGAGCAACGTGTTGATAATATAGTGGGTATTGCTTATGCTATGGATCTTCTAGATTATGTTCAAAAGGTGAGTTACTACTTCCATTCATCTCTCTCTTAGATTATTGTTGCCTTATTTTTTCTAATTATATACGCATGCAGAATTATAATCTGTTTGATTTTGAAGGGGGAGCTACTAGAAAGTTCTGCTGTGGGAGATATGGCACAGAAACCTGCATATTTCGTCCCTGGTAACTTTTTGTTTGGCATCTTAAACTATTGCTTCTGTTTAAATGCCCTGTAGATTGTTGCTGGTTCATGTCTCTTCAGCACTTCTTAAGAAAGAAATTGCGATACTCAATCATTCTAGTCAGGATCAGGACATCATTTGGATGTTCCCTAGGTACCATTTCTGTGGTTGCCTGGGTATTGACACGTAATCCTTGTTAGGTATGTAGACAATGAGGAAGAGAGACTCCAGATATATCTAAATTTTATTAGATGGTTGAAACTATTGTAGATAATTTGTTTGCTGCTTCATCTTCCTGTGGGTTGGCTGTGATGGAAATTATGGCATCCACTAAATTTCAAGGATGATACTTATGATGTTGCCCCTATCTTCAGGACGTAGATAGTGGATTCTATGAATAAAGTTGCCATGAAACATCTGAGTCCAAATTAACATTTGTTACGCTACTCAATCTCCATGTATTCGTCACTTTTGTGTTTCAGGGTTTCCAAATCAGATTATTTCTTAGATTGTATTAGGGCCTTGGTTGAAACAAATCAATGCCAAACTCTTGAAGTTAGATCATTTGTTTTAATTAGTAAAATTTATTAGACTGGCATGCGAGGAATAATGGATTTCTCGTTTTCAAGCGTATGTTGAGTTAGTGTTATTAAAGGCGGTAGGCGCACTAAGGCGCCAAGGTCTCCTGGGGCCTAGGCTCAAGGCTCAAGGCGCAAGGCGAGGCACAGGCTTCATCGAAGTAAGGTGCACCTTGTACAGAAAAAAATATATAATTTAGTATAAGTAAATAATTTAGGGTTCAACAAAAACAAAATGAAATGTTAAACATTTAGAGTTCTTCGGAGATTAGGAATTAGGACTAATTTTTTTTCTATCATTGATTTGGAATTGAATGCCCAATGTATTAGCATCTGTAATAAGAGTAGAGATCTTTTGTAGCTTCACCATATTAAATCAATGGTTAGATTTTAAACAAAATCAATTGAAGTAACAATAAAAAAAGCCCTCAAGACACAAGCCTTGGGCCTTATTCTGCCTTGGACCAGTCAGGTGCCTTATTGAAGTCGCCTGGCCTGGAACCCTACAAGGTACAAACCTTGGGCTTGGATGGGACTTGGGCCTAGGCGCACGCCCAGGCGTGCCTTATTGAAGTTGCCTGGCCTGAAACACTACAAGGCCCAAACCTTGGGCCTAGATGGGACTTGGGCCTAGGCGCACACCTAGGCACGCCTTTAATAACACTTTGAGTGTCCTCGTTTGACTTGATAAACATACAATCATAGAAGTAAATGCATCACAGTATAACTTTGCTGTCAATATTGCAGATTCAATGTCAGTTTGGAACCTTCTTAGAGAGTTTCGCATCAGGAAGGTCCACATGGCTGTTGTTCTTAATGAATATGGTGGAACTGTGGGAGTATGTATACACCCTGACTTTGGATACTGTTTTAAGTAAAGAAATTATGCTTAACGTGTAATACCATGAATTTGTAGCTTACATAGGTTGTGTTGTTGAGCCTTTCATCATTGTGTTCAAGGATTCAGTTATTCCTGTCCGTGTTTGGAACTTGACTTCCGTATTTTTTGGATGAAACAGATAGTAACCCTAGAAGATGTGGTTGAGGAAATTGTTGGTGAAATTTTTGATGAAAATGATTCAAAAGTAAGGCTCCTTTAAACTTTGCATGTTTTTATGTTCACTATTTGAAGACATCCATAATCCTTCCCTTACTGATATACATTTCCGTATTAACTTATTGTCAAATCAATATTGTTAACTCTATGGTATAGCAATCGAAGTGATACTTGTTAATATAAATTTGAAAAGTTCATGTAATACTATTGCAGCAGTATTCGTATTCAATGGTTGATAAATAGAACTCACTGCATATAGATAGTCAGGTGGAGAGATTGCGATCGTCATTTTTGGGATGCAAACTCCAGAAACTTGTAAACATATAATTTAAGTCATTTTTTATAACTCAGCAATTTTTTTCATAAGTTTGCATTAGATATTGTCATTATCATATGTTATATTGTTCCCTTAACTTTTGGAAGAAGATAATGTTAATGTATGGAAATTGTTACTTATTTTTAAAGGCCAAATTGTGTTTTAACTTTGTTAGTTCTTGGTTAAATGGAGTTTCTAAGGTTTTGAAGGCAAGAGAGTAGCTTTAAAATGGCCAAAAATTGGGCTTCAACCCTTTAAAGATCAAACTGTTGACTTTGGTGACTGGCAAGACCACATCGGTCCAATATGAATAGATTCATTGCAACATAAGATGAAATTCTTGTAAATTTAAAAAAAAATTGCCAACTTTTAAGTGGCTATAGAACTATAGAAGTAGTGGGTGTATCGTTGAGAACCTGGATTGCAGTCAGATCTATATTGTTAATTTTGTATTATGTTCTGTTGTTATATTACAGGAGGAAATCCAGAAAAAAACTGGTTATATTGTAATGCGAGCAGAGGGAATATATGATGTGGACGCAAATACATCAATTGACCAGCTTTCTGAAGATCTCAATATCAAAATGCCTGAGGTATTTCATGCTCCTCTCATGATAATCAGTTGATTGTTGATCCTGATGACTGAATTTGCTAATCAGTTGATTGCTAATCGTGACATGTCGGTCGAACTGTGTGTTTTTTATGCATAATAGCCATTGCAGAAGATATCTGGTATTTAGTTTTTTAAGCATCATTTATTTTGCTAGTTTTTTTTAATGATTCTTCCCTTTTTTTCATTTTTTAAATGTACTCAAGCCTGTCAAGTGCCATCAGCTTCTCTTTGTTTTTTTCTTTCTTTTTTTAATTTTTCCCTGCTTTTCTTGGTCAAAAAGGAGTAGCCATCAGGTGTTAAAAATACGGTTTGACAACCTTTTTTTTTTCCCCTGTTTTGCGACAGGGCCATCAATATGAGACAGTGTCCGGTTTTATCTGTGAGGCATTTGGATATATCCCAAGGACTGGTGAGACCATAAAAGTAGTAGTTGAAAAGGGAAACCAAGAAGAGCATGATGAATATACTGAAGCAGAATCTGACCGTCAAGATGAAAAGGGAAAACATCAAATTTTTAAGCTTGAGGTATGGCTTTTACTCTTTTTTCCAGATTCAGTTCTTAGGGAGTTGCTTCACCTAAAGTAGTTGTTTTCTCTATGTTTGGCCCAATGTTACTAGAAAACGCTAATCTCCTAGCGAATTACGCTTTGGAAGGCACGTTCCGAAATGTGTTGCTACGTGAAGAAGAAGGGGAAAAAAACTACATTTTATTGGATTCTTATTTTTTTTAAGAAAATTATTTTAAAAGTACTTTAAATTCTATACAGGTCTACTCCTATCATATTCCCACTCCTGTTCCACGTAACGGAACAATCCATGTTCTAGGTAACATAGGTTTTGGATGGAGGGGGTGCAGCACATTTTCATGGTTGCTTATGAAGACAGCCCTAAGGTTCTCAGAGAAACAGAAGTGTTGAGGAAAATTTGATTGATTCACTTATAAAACAGCTAATCCCAAACTAGATCGGATTAAGTTTGTATAATGTTTAGTTCATTTCATACAACAACAAATTTCTCAAGCACCTCAGATCCCATGTTAAACATTTACAACATTCTAGATGCATGGGACTGGCTTGTTAAAGATTCTGCATTGAGGTTATACATACACTTAGTATGTAGTAGGGTGGTTCATGGATCAGATCGGTTTCCCAATTATCCATCACCCGAACCAACACTTGCAGGTTAGACATTACGACAACCAATCTCGACTGATCAATGGTTCAAAATCGAATAAATTGGGTGGGGAAAATAATGGTCGGCTTTGGTCATCATCTTCTTCGAAGGCTCTTTCAACATCAGCACAATAAAAAACCATTACAAATCTCATCGCCCCATGGGGGGATGAGGTTTAGGGGTTTTAGAGGACGAAATGCAAGAAGAGTTTTCGGAAAGGTAGATCTCATCTCCACCCATTTCACTGCATTCAATCTCACCACCCCTGCTCTGTGATACAGGCGGACTCCTTTAGAGACACAGCGGATCAATTTTTTGCCCGTGTGGCACTCAAACTCCACCAAGTTTAAGCCCGCCATAGCTCATTGACACATTGAGTGTTGATGATCTCACCCGATTTGATCCTTAGGGCCCAACGCTTTGTCAAACAGAATAACTCCACAAGGAAGCTTCGTCTTTACCCGGATGTCACAAGTAGACCTGACGCCTCAAGTGCACCAAGCACGGCATAAGTCGCTTCATAGCGCCAAGCTTATCTCAAGCAAGGTGCTCGCCCAACTTAGGTTCATGTCATCAAGGTGCCTAGCCACACAACAATGCACTAGCTAAGGCCCTCGACTTAGCCGACAAGCCAACATAGCATGTTGGGTCTTCAACAGCATCCCAAAGTGCCATAGGGTCTAGCATGCCTCAATCGATGTATGTCAGATGGCCATACGGTCATGCAAAGCCCACAAGCCACCGAGGGTCAATCTTTTGCCCATGGCGTAGTCCTCGTGCCAACACGTGTGTTAGATTCTGCCTAAGACTATTGTGTACCTTAGCGTTGCACCAACATGTTGCCCGAGTAAGGCAACGTCTCAATTCGTAGCTTTCTTGTAGCATAATGGAATCTCTTAATGGATTGAGTCAATGCATAACTTGATGCTTTTATTCAATAGCCCACACATGTGGGGTTGCCTTCCAACCGCTTAGCTTAAGCCACGGGATCCCTTCGTGCAAGGTTGAACCCAAACCAAGCACTTGAGTTGGCACACGAGGCCTTTAGTAGTGCCTCGATAGCCCATTCAGTCTAAAACAAGTCCCTAAGGTGCCATAACACGGGGCATAAAGGAAACGTATTAAACTTCTCCTTCAGGAGGCACGCGCAGTGCTTACATTTTTGTACTGTCCACGGGGCTCCCAAACCCGCGTGGAGACTCTAGACACCCCTCTGGATGCCTAAAGTCCGCCCTTGAGTTGCCCCAAGGTTGCTCACTTGAAGCCCAGTTTGGGTAGGTAGGTAGCACACCTTACCCCCTTATATATGCTTGTTAAGCATGTAGCCACCTGGCAGGAGGAAACTTGGTTGGGAAAATACTTACCCCAAAACCTCTTTCCAGTAAAAATTTTAGCCCAAAATTCCTTCATTTGGATGCTTAAACAACCCGTCAAAAATCTGCACTGTTGGCTGCTCTGCAGGGCCGCGGCCTGGGCTGTGGCTGGCAATGCCAGCAGGCAACCTGGGCTGCAGCCTAAGCCGCGGCCTGTCTGTGCCATGTCTACTGCTAGCTTCTGGCATGGGTAGCGGCCTGTCTGTGGCCTTGAAGTGGCTGGGTTGCGGCCTGAGCCGCGGCTTGTGTCGAGGCCTGGGCTATGGCCTTACTACATGGGCATGCTGCTAGCTGCATGGTGGCCTCTATGCCTTGGGCTGCTTGCGGCCAATGTTGGGCCACGTTGAGGCACTTCCAAGGGCCACTCTTGAGTACTCAATTGGTCACACCACCACGAGCAAAACGTTACGAAGTTGGCCTTGCAAGGCAACCCGTGACACCCTTCTCCACTCCAACCATCAACGTTCTCATTGATGTTGTAGTGCGTATACCAGCTCCTCTGACAAGTCCAACACCTCTGTGTTGATTGCCTACCTTCAACGTCCAACTGTTTTAGCCAAGCTTCCCTCATTGTTCTCTACTCAAATCCAGTTGGAATGCACCCCATTTGTTGCACTCTCTATTGGCAACTTTTCTTAAAACTCCACTGGGTTAACGGCCACTGAAAGTTTTCCCCCTCTGAAAAATGGCCTCTGCTAAAGCTCCTCTGAGCATCTGAAACTCTGCCCTTTGCCAATACCCTGAAATTCCAAGCCCTCATCTCGAAAGGCCTCTCTACCGATGCTCCTCCAAGTAATCTCAAGCTTCTCCAAGCAAACTCAAGCTCCTCTTAGTTGACTCCTCCAGGCAATGCTCCTTTAGTTGTCGCTTATGCTCCTCTGATGTTGACTCGCAACGGGTTGTCGCACCCTTCTCCACTCTAACCATCAACGTTCTCATTGATGTAGCATAAAGTTGATGTTGTAGTGCGTATACTAGCTCCTCTAACAAGTCCAACACCTCTGTGTTGATTGCCTACCTTCAACATCCAACAATTTTAGCCAAGCTCCCTTCATTATTCTCTACTCAAATCCAGCTGGAATGCACCCCATTTGTTGCACTCTCTGTTGGCAACTTTTCTCAAAACTCCACTGAGTTAACCGCTACTGAAAATTTTCCCCCTTTGAAAAATGGCCTCTGCTAAAGCTCCTCTAAGTGTCTTTGAAACTCTGCCCTTTGCCAATACCCTGAAATTATGCTCCTCTGATGTTGACTCGTAGTGGGTTGTCGCATCGCGACTTCCTCCTCCACTCAAGTTGTCAACGCCCTCGTTGACTCAATGGAAATCAATAGTTGCCCCTCAAAATGATTAAACAATGCCCCAGGTGTCACGGGTTGCCTTGCAAGGCCAACTCCGTGACATTTTGCTCGTGGTGGTGTGACCAATTGAGTGCTCAAGAGTGGCCCTTGGAAGTGCCTCAACGTGGCCTAACATTAGCCCCAAGCAGTGCAAAGCATACCGGCCACCATGCAGCCAACAGCACGCCCAAACAGTAAGGCCGCAACCCAGGCCATGGTTCAAGCCGCAGACAGGCCACAGCGGCCGTTGCCCAGCCACAGCAAGGCCGCAGCACAGGCCGCAACCCATGCCAGAAGCCAGCAGCAGACAATTCGCAGCCCAAGCTGCCTACCAGCATTGCCAGCCGCGGCCTAGCAGAGCAGCCAACATTGTAGATTTTTGGCGCGTTGTTTAAGCATCCAAATGAAGGAATTTTGGGCTAAAATTTTTACTGGAAAAAGGTCTTGGAGGAAGTGTTTTCCAAACCAAGTTTCATGATTTTTCTCAATTTGTGGAATTTTTGAAAAATCATTATGACTCCTCAGACATTGGGCATGTTTCCTCCTGCCAGGTGGCTAAATGCTTAATAACATATATAAGGGGCAAGGTGTTCTACCTACTTGCCTCCCTGCCCAAACTGGATTTCAAGTGAGCAACCTTGGGGCAACTCAATGGCGGGTTTTAGGTATCCAGCGGGATGTCTAGAGTCTCCACGTGGGTGTGGGAGCCCCATGGACGATGCAAAAAATGAAAACATTGCGCGTTCCTCCTGAGGGAGAGGTTTAACACGTTCTTTCCTTTATGCCCCTCATTATGGCATCTTAGGGACTCATTTTAGACCGAATGGACTTTCGAGACACTACCAAAGGCCTCGTGTGCCAATTCAAGTGCTTGGTTTGGGTTCAACTTTGCATGAGGAGATTCTATGGCTTAAGCTAAGCGATTGAAAGGCAACACCTCATGTGTGGGCTATTGAATGAAAGTATCAAGCTATGCATTGACTAAATCCATTGAGGGATTCCGTTATGCTACAAGCAAGCTACGGATTAAGGCGTTGCCTTACTCAGGCGACACGTTAGTGCAACGCTAAGGTGCACAATGGCCTTAAGTGGAATCTAACACATGTGTTGGCACGAGGACTACGCAGTGGGCAAGAGATTGACCCTCGGTGGCTTGTGAGCTTTGCATGACCGTATGGCCATCCGATATATATCGATTGAGACATGCTAGACCCTATGGCATTTTAAGATGCTATCGAAGACCCAACATAGCAACATGCTATGTTGGCTTGTCGACTAAGTCGAGGGCCTTCGCTGGCACATTGTTGTGTGACTAGCCACCTTGCTTGAAATAAGGTTGGCGCTATGAAACGACTTATGTCGTGCTTGGTGCACTTGAGGCGTCAAGCCTACTTGTGGCATTTGGGTGAAGACGGAGCTTGCTTGTGGAGTTATTTTGCTTGACAAAGCGTTGGGCCCTAAGGATCAAAACGAGTGAGATCATCAACACTCGATGTGTCAATGAGCTATGGCGGGCTTAAACTTGGTGGAGTTTAAGCGCCACAAGGGTGAAAAATTGATCCACTGCGCCTCTAAAGGAGTCGGACCGTGTCAGTTGGTATCAGAGCTAGATCACTCATTTGGGGGAGATCCATCTTGAGCAGACATGCACTTATCTTGTGATATCATTTCTCCGTGGACCCCGATGCTGCTGTTTGAAGGAGTTATGCATGGTACTCATCCTGGGGGAAGTGTATGACATCCTAGACTCTAAACAAAACCGTCGTTGGTTCTCTGGTCATATTTGAATTGTGGAAGCTGATTGGTGATGTCTTGGGGTATCTGTACTTATTGTGCTATTCTTTAGCGATGCTTTGAACGCAACGACCGTTCTTGAGGGTGCGAATTAAGCATCATTGTGGCATTTAGTGTTGCCTTGCTAACGTGGTGTTTCCCTCTCACTCTGAGGACTTGGTGAGCATTTCTACACTGTGGGCACACTGTGGCGCGAGTATGCTACATTTGTGGACGAGTTGCTTCCTAACCAGCAGGGCTAGCATGATTGTGTTACTTGTTGGCTATATGGGGATTTCTACCGCAGTTGGGACTTGTGGAATGCTTGTATCAAATTGTGGGCACGTGATCTTCATCTATTGAGCCTTAGAGACGGGTTTTTGTTGGCAGTCGTGCACATGCAATGGCATTATTACTAGTTCGCTTTAAGAGGCCTATGTTTCGACCGTTCGTGGTAGCATTTGCAACTTGTGCTTGTCAATGGTTTTGAATCTTCAGACGTATGGTTGTTGACTTCTTAGAGGGTTTGTTCGGAAAATTTTCAAGACAAAATTTGAGATCTTGACTCTCGTGTGCAGAGGTACCGAGTGTGCATGCTTGCTAGAGAGTGGGGTGATGGATGAAATCACCGTTGCCAGAGGACAACCATGTAGCGGGTTTGTGATGTCAAGACATGATTTGGTGCTAGGATCAACGCACCGTTTTGAGCATCTTTGTTGAGATGGCTAGCTTTGTGGGTGGTAGGAGCGGTGAGCCTTTGAAAGGTGAAATCCTTGAGCTTAATGAGATAGCGGACTCTGGTGAAAATAGTGGCCAAGGTACTGGGCAGCATGAGTTGAATTCTAGCTAGAGGACATGAGTTAAGATAGAGGGCTTGTTTGAGAGCACGAGCATATGAGATTCAACCAATGGGTTACATTTTGCTAGAGGGCACGAGTTGAGCAAAACCGGTGGGCTTCATTTCAGCCTGAGGGCTACACTTCTACAAGAGCATTGAAGTTTTGAGTTATAAGAGCCTATTCAGCCAGAAGGCTACCCATCGCCAGAGGGCACGAGTTTGAGTTAAGCTAAAGGGCTTCATTTTCGCTAGAGGGCATTAGCCAGAAGGCTTCAGAGACATGGGCTTGCCAGTAAGCAACAGCCGGAGGGCTTTTATTTCGACAGAGGGCACTGTAAAAATTTATGTATTATTGATTGATGTTTATTGATTTATTACAATGATTCATGATTCTTATATATAGAAGAGGGTGAGTGTGTAGTAGGTACGGAGTAGGTGAAGTGGAGGTGGTAGTGGTGTAGTGGGTTAGGTTTAGTGGAGTAGGTGGCTTCATTTCAGCCTGAGGGCTACACTTCTACAAGAGCATTGAAGTTTTGAGTTATAAGAGCCTATTCAGCCAGAAGGCTACCCATCGCCAGAGGGCACGAGTTTGAGTTAAGCTAAAGGGCTTCATTTTCGCTAGAGGGCATTAGCCAGAAGGCTTCAGAGACATGGGCTTGCCAGTAAGCAACAGCCGGAGGGCTTTTATTTCGACAGAGGGCACAGTACGAAGATACTTGACCTTATTGAAGATATCAGTCAGAGGGCTTTGTGCTTGCCAGAGGGCATTGTTTAATCATTTTGAGGGGCAACTATTGATTTACATTGAGTCGACGAGGGCGTTGACAACTTAAGTGGAGGAGGAAGTCGCGATACAACGACCCACAGCGTGTCAACATCAGAGGAGCATGAGGGACAACTAGTGGAACATTGCGTAGAGGAGTCAGCTAAGAGGAGCTTGAGATTACTCGGAGGAGCATCGGTAGAGAGGCCATTCGAGATAAGGGCTTGGCATTTCATGTCATGTACCGACTCATTTGATGCGCAAGTTCTACACCAAGCATCTTGCAAGCGCATTAGTTTGTGAGCAGCAAGGCAAGCAGGGTGGATCCCTATTGCATCTCCTGGGTTGGTCTTTGGGCTTAATACACGGGGTATGCAGTTCCACTCGTGGAGCCAGCTTCTCCGGAGGATGACAAGCGCCCAGTACGTGACACTCTGCCACGACCATGAACTCAGTGTCGCCATCACTACAAAGATCTCATTGTCGATGCCATGATCTGAGTGATGCCGCCAGCCCACGATCTTAGCGCCACCTTCTCATAGTCTAAGTAGTGAGAGGAAATCTGGAGAGTTTGAAGAGTGTAAGATACAAAGGAGTTTGAGAGAATAAAAGTTCTATGATAAATTGATAATAAGTCTAAGTCAAAAATAAGTTGAATCATACTGAATAGAGAGTGTGACTGATGAGTTGTTTAAGTGGAATACAACTGTTATGCGTAGAAAGTATAAAAGACCTTTAGTCTCTCTATATAATTATGGTGCATGAATACTGCTTTAATTGATAAGCAGCAAAAGCAATTAAATCGCGACACTTTCCAACAGAGTACTAAATGCTCGGACAGTTCGGTTTCAACGGCATTTTCAAATTTAAAACTGCGACCGACCGTTTTGGTTTTTAAAATTGACCAGATGTGGGTCGGTCCGAGCGGGTCAGGCGGTTTAAATGGGTTGATCGTATTTTTTAGCAGCCCTAACCTGTAATGTGTGATTCAGTAAGTCTTATCAAGTGCGTAATTCAACGGTACTTCCAACAGCCCCTCCAAACCCCAAATTGTGAAGAATTCAAGATTCAGTTATTTTCCTTTATTTTCTCAGCAATATGGCAGAGCACAAAACTGCAAATACAATATCTAAATTTGCAGTTTTAGCTTTAGTCATCTAACTGACATGTGGGTTGTATTGTCTGTGGTGCAGATATTGGCAGGAAATGCCAGAAAGGTGAGTGCAGCTCGGTTTGAACGGGTAAACCATGATGAGGCTAAATCAAAAGCGAAAGAGGTAACACGCACATTTCCTAAAATTATGAAAAGGAAATGGAGTAGCAATGAAGACTCAGACAAGACTGATTATGATGAGGACTCCTACCAAAAGAGAGCAGAGAATGACCTTTCTGATGGCTATATAATTAATGAACATGAACTTGAACATGAACATGAAGGTGATCGTGAGCATCTCGGTAAACAGTAGTAGCATTCTTCACATTCTTCCCGTTCTTGCAACGAAAAAATGGGAGTAAGAAATAAACCATGTAAAAAAAAATCCACAAATGAAGAGAAGTATCAATATGAGTTTTGGTGCAGAGTCCTTTGTAGAAACACGGCTGTCATTTGAAGCTATTGATGCATGCATTTGGAGCCTTGTTATATATTTTATATTATTTAAAAAAGGGGGAGAATCAGCAACTGTTGTGCAGCATCCAAAAAGAGTTACTTTCGCCAATCAATCTTAGGAGTGGTGTTGTTGGTTTGGTGGATGTGAAGAGAAAGGCAAAGGGCTTGTTAAGCGAGAAAAGGGTGGGGAGCTCGAATTGTAGATTATGGTGGGATTTCTTTGATGGAATAAAAGGAAGGGCTGGTAACTCTGTCGGTTTGTTCTGTTGGGCTTTCGAGAAGATGGTTGCCTTTTTGGTTTGCTTTTGGAGGATATGTATTTGTCATTTTTTTTTAACCTCATTAAAACGTCCTCTCTTGGTCTCTCCTTTTTGTAGAGGGCACAGCGTAAGGAGGTGAGGATGTGCTAGTCAAGACAAGGGTTGGAAGATGGAATAATTTTTGAGGTTCTGTTCATGTTTTTAAATTTACTTTGATTGAGCCCTTTCCTCATATGGAGAGGAGAGAAAGATAAGCCACCAAAAGGTACAATTCCTGTCCTGTGTGTGTGTGTGTGTGTTTAATAAGCACTTTTTGCGGTGTCTAGTTGCTGGATGGTAATGGCATGGGGGAGGGAAAGTGACTGGTGAGAGAGAGTACAGGAAAACGAGTTGTGTGAGGGAAGCAAAAATATGATGATAGGCTACCAGAATCGAAATGGTTTGGATTTTTATGATGGGATGATGGGTATCAAAAGAGATTTTATTGTTTACAAGGTTGTGATGTTCTGTGCTGAGCGGTTGCAGACATTGGCTAAGCTGCCTATACGGTCATTTGATTATATATGATTGAGTGCTTCTTAAGGTTACGATTTTTGTTGCTGATGCATGCTGGATAACTAGGATCAATGTGGTTGACCTCACTTTTTTTTTCTTTTTTTTTTTATAATAAAAATAACAATATTGAGTAGATTTGTCACCACTCTTTTGTTGTCTGTATATTTATTTAGATTTTTTTATTGATAATGTGGGAAGATTATTGTGGGTGAATCAACAAATCCACAACACTTGAGACAAGGTAAAAGATTGGTCCTCCAGCAGTTTAATAGTTGGGTGCTCACTTTTGTGTTTAAATTTCTGTATTTATTATTTTACAATTTTTTCAACGAGTGTAAGATAAACACAAGGGTATGTCTTCTAATATTGTGTTTTGACTTTTAAATTTTTTTATTTTTTTTTTTTCCATAATTTTGGATGGAAATCATAATAGTCAGGCAAAGTGCAAAATAACCAAAATCACGAGGCTTTTTGTTGATGGGGATAAAATGATTTAGGGTCCACCCTCGAATGTCTCCTCTGTATTCCACCTACATGTGGAAGAGGGGAGAAGAGTTGATCATCTCTCTGTCTCTCTCTCACGCCTTTCTTTAGCTTGTTCATGTATGTCTATTCAGTATGCAGTAGGCAGCCCACATACATGAAGGTAGGTGCTGATTGTTTTGAAAGATAAAGGCTATGGGATTGGACTAATAGTCCTTCCGGATTAATAATCTGTTGTTTGTTTGTTCAATTTTATTCCGGACTATTAGTTCCAAATATGTAGGACTATTATGTGAGACACAAATTGGGGGATAAGGGGATATGGGGTGAAATGATCATTTTGACCTTTTACTATTTAATTATGTATTATATTTAGTAAAATTTAATAAAATTTAAATGTTTCAATTTAAAGGCTATGGGATTGGACTAATAGTCCTTCCAGATTAATAATCCGTTGTTTGTTTGTTCAATTTTATTCTGGATTATTAGTTCCAAATATGTAGGACTATTATGTCTCGTGTGAGACACAAATTGGGAGATAAGGGGATATGGGGTGAAATGATCATTTTGACCTTTTACTATTTAATTATGTATTATATTTAGTAAAATTTAATAAAATTTAAATGTTTCAATTTAAAAATAAAATTATTTTATTTAATTTTTATTAATGTTTCATTTATTTAATTTTTTAAAATATTTTTTTATAGATAAAGATATTTTATTGATGTTTTGTTTTAAAATTTTGTTTATATTTTATTTAATTTCATTGTTTAAATTTTAATAGATATTTTATTTAATTTCATTATTTAATTATTATTGTTTTTTAAAATAAATTTATTTAAAATTTTAATTAAATAAATAAAATATCAAAATATGTTATTTTTTAATTAAAATATTAAAAATATTTTTAATATTATTATTATTTAGTAAATAATTGAAAAGGATGAAATAGTTATTTGAGCATTTATCTTTTTTCATAATATCCCAAACAAACATAAGATTCGTATCCTATCCAAGTAAATAGTCTTTTTCTGACATATAATTTCATGACTAAACAAACATATGATACAAATCTAATCCAACCAAATAATCTGAGAACAATGTATCTCAGAATTAACAGTCCGGTGATTTTCAATCATTTTTATCCAGTCCGTTCAAACAAATATACCGGAAGAGAAGAAGAGGGTGGGTTCCTTTGATATAAAGACATCGAGGCAATGAAAGAGAACCACAAGTGGAAGCAACTGATGCTTTGGTCATTCAATAGGCTCCTTGCTGCCAGTCTCTGCTTGCTGGCAAAAGCAAGCGTTTCACTCAGTTTTACCTGCCACTGCCATCCACACAGAAGACAATGAAGTTTTCTAAAAGACCCCATTATTGGAGGAAGACCACCAAGGTATGAAAGACACAGGACTAAAGAGAGTCAAAAAAAGGATCTTCTGATACATAGCTCAAATTTATACCATGCAAGCAAAAGTTCCAAGATTCACCGAGATATAGAACATAAATAAAGAAAGACTAATTGGAACGATCATTCCATTGGAAACCCTAGGTCCTACTAGAATTGGCGGAACAATAACACAATGACAAAGAATACACTAGATACAGTACACGAAGGAACTATGCTAGCTAGCAGAGAGAGAGAACCACAAACAGTGAAATTAAAAATGAAGTTATCTTTCAAGGACTATTTGGCCCCCAACCCCAGGATGGCTCACAAAATTGAAGATTCCAAAATGATGGTAGTATCTGTGTTGCCAATGCTGCAGCACAATAAGCGAAAAAAACCTAAAAGTACAATACAATACTTTAGTGTGATCAGCTACATCTAAAGAGGCAATAATAGATTTCACTTTTACATATGAATCAACCCCAAACCACCTTAAATGTATTCTAACAAACTGATGATCGAACAAAAATAATAATAAAGAGTAAGGGGAGTGTGTCATGTCATCATCTTCTTCTCACAGCTACAGTTGGCCCCCCACGGATCGCCGCCGTAGTTTGCTGTGGAATTTGAGAGGCTGATTGGCCAGAAGTAGCCTGCTCCTCGGGCATATTCATAGCTTGGGTGATAGCATTCATCACAATTATTCCAAGAGGTATCAAATACATCCACTGAAACATAGACGACACATACCGAAGGCAAGGTGTTTTTAGAAACTGCGGTGAGTCGAGTAATGAGAATTATTATTAATGAAAGGAATTAATAATTCTTTGACTACTTACATATTTAGCCCAAAATGATCTCTCTGGTGGCTTTACAACTTCACCCTCTCCAGTCTCACCACCAAGGATCTCATCCACAAATGTCACAATTCTGTTTCAAAAATTGTAATTAGCAACTTCAAAAAGAGGTAAATGCAAAAATTAAATATGATGCTCATCATCATGGTCAAGTGAGAATTGCAGCTAGGCATTAGACGAAAAGGCAGTAAAATCTATTCATCGAAGGTAATTGATTAATATGAATGATCATTACAAAAATGATAAACATCAAGAATAGGGTCATAGGATTTGGTTTGGAAATATTGCATAAGCATTGCATAAGCAGCAGGTTTACATCTAGGCTGCCATTAAAATTAAAGCTTGACAAGATTTCGTTACACCACCAAGAGAGAGAGAGAGAGAGAAGATTTCATTAGACTAATTCATCAGTAACATATACTTCTCTGAAGATCAAAACTTGACAATACTTCGATTTAGCTTTGCCTTTTAGGACTCCACTATTAATGTATGCAGTCAAACCCTCAATAAAAATTCTAAGAAAAATGATATTGGAACGTATCAAACAATAATAAGCAACTTACCTTGGTGCCTGCTCGCTGTTCTTTAAGACGGTGTGTGAGTTGAATGACCACTTTGCAGGCTGAAATAAGAGACAACAAAATACTGATCAGTGGTTTGAGTGATGGACCTAAAACATCTGAATTCTATTCTGAATCAATCCTTTCTGTCCTCACTGATCGAATTTCAAGTTACCGTATGATATCAATAAATTTTAACTCTTTTTGTGGTCTCAGAAAAGGAGGGAACGAAACAAACTAAGGCAGACCAAAATGCGAAAATTCAAAAGCCAATGCAACAGCCAACCATTGAGAGAGAAAACAAAGGCCGTATCAGAGAACATCTCAAGGAAGGACCCAGCTAGAAGTAAAGTCTTAGATCAAGATCAGAGCCCTTTTCTTTCAAAAGTTGATAGCTGAACAATTGAAGTTCGTTCGAAAGTTGACATTTGAACGACAAAATGATGTGAACTAAGAATATTTGTGGTATGCGAATAAAAGTACCCAAAATTCAATGCTATGTAGACTAGCTACAAATTGGTGGGGGTGAATTATGAAAAAAATTATAAAATCAGTGTTAAACTCAACATGACCACCACTAATACAAGTTCTGAAGGGCATCTCAATGCAAACTTCTCCAAAGAATTGTGAACATTTGGGAGGCCTGTGGCACCTAAAGTCAATACTTAACTCAGTACTTGATCTCTAGGAAGTTCCTTTATCAATATTAGGGGTAATTGCAAAAAATGACAATTAAAAAAATATGTGTACAAATATATCTCGACATCCTGCCATCCCTTTCCTTCGGCTGAAGTGGAGTACGAAATGAAAATTTTCTAGAACTAGCAGACTTCATATTAAAAAATTGTGGGATTGCCTCTTATAATTTGGAGGAACATCTTAAGAAAAAAAGAAAAGAAGAGAAAATTCCTTAAGGCTGTGTTTGGTTCATAGATTTGGGTAGGGATTTGGAAAAGGAACAGGAAAAAGTGTGTGAAATGTAGTTATATTTCATTCACATTTCACCAATCTTTTGTTTTTCCTTTTCCAAATCCATGAACCAAACAACGCATAAAAGATTTTGAAATCTCTGGACAGCAATGAAGCTCTTAAGCCACATGCTTGATTTTCAAGAAATATATACCACAAACACTCAACCCTGCAAACCTCCCTCTCTCTTTCCACACTGTGATAGTTTTCAGGCAAGATTTCTCAAGCAAATGCATGGGATTTCAGTCACTAACCAGTTATAAACTATTCGGGAGGAAGCAAATCATAATAATTACCAGCAATTAAATAAAGTAATATTCATACAGCATGGAGAACAATAAAAACTGGATGCTCATCGCAACAGAGGCTCCAAGTGGGTTTTGTTAGGCTGAGAAATCTTTGTAAGAATCATAATGTTAACCAAAACCTGACCAATTTATCAGTCATGTTAGAAGGTTTGATACAGAACCCAAGGACCACTATAATTGGCCAACCAAAGCCTGACCCTCCTGACCTATCTACTCCATTGATTTGATATAATTCGCTTTAGAGCTGAAAAATATGAATTTTTTTCTTGTACATCGTTGAAACAAATGAATTCATAACAAATTAAAACATCATGTTGAGCCACAACACCTCACAATCAAAATTGAAAAGTTAAAAATCTAATCATTCCCAAGATTAAAATTTGTTAGATACCATATTTTCTAAGAACAAGCTTATTAAGGAGATATAAGCCCCCAGCAGGGTAGCCCTGAAACCGATTCCAAACACTTGAGTTTGGCTAATTGGGTCAGCTTCTTCCCTCTTGGAGAAGTGTTGACTGCAGCAGCCTAAAGAGATCAGAAAAAAGACATCTAATGTAGCTTCTGCATTCTTTCTCAATAAATGCAGTAAAATTGCAAGCACAATAACCCATGAGACAGAGAGAGAGAGAGTAAAAAAATGTTGGCCCAAACTTACAAGTTTCAATTGCCGAGGATATGGACATGCACCAGGAGAACCATAATTAACAGCCAAGATATTAACACCGTCCTGTAATCAGACATTGAAAGAGAATATATATATATGCACGAGAACAGTGAACTTATGTCACAGTTTCTATCTGTCAAGAAGTAGAATAATGCAGATAAAAATTGAATAATAAACAATAGAAAATAAAGCAGAACATACAATAAACAAAATTACATCAAAAGGAAATATAACTATAGAAAAACAAAGACATGAAAATAGGAATGATAGTAAATTCACTGAATAATCGTTATAATACTTCAATGGTACACCTCATAAAACCAATCATGTCTCCCCATGCTTACATTTCCATACATGTGTCAACAACTAAAACTTTTCCCAACTCATCTTTATTTTTTCATTAGGCAGTGGAAACCTGTAACTTCTTATTTACTTCTTTCCTAGTATCATGTCATACATACATCTAGGGCATGTCAAATTGCTTCTATTACTAACCAAAAAGGTATACAAATGATACTCTCGGCTCTTCATTTTTTTTCTTTTTGATATGCAACAAGTATAGTAACCAATAAAACTAAAGACATCGAACATGATTTATTTTGGCTTTAAACCTTTATGGAATACAAATTTTGCTTCTCACTGCCTCCTTATCATGTAAAAAAAGTGTCTAGTTATTAAAATGTCCTACATATCATAGATTTTACACTCATATGTTGGGATCCTAGCCTACCCACTACCACCATCCCAAAGTAGCGATTGCACCAATTTAAGTAACACTGAAGATTTCAACAGACAATTAATAAAAATCATTTAAGCACTAGTCATCTACAAGCATGTACTACACAAGACATGATTCCAGATGCACAAGAGTGTTGTTCAAATTGAAATATTACCATGTGTATAACAAAATGTTCATCCAAACGATCCTGTGGAAGGCATCTCTGGAGGTAAAGGAAAACAACGGTTAACCACATATATATGGAAGAAATGTAGAAAAATAAGATAATCACTACAGCTAGAATTTACTGAATGGTAAGTGCCTGGTCAAGTTATATTCAACCACATAATTTTGGTAAAATACAGAAACAAGATAAATTATTGGAGAGAAACTGCTTATGCACTCATGCAACAGAACAAGTATCATGAAATTTTTGAATTAACTCAAAACTATTAAAAATAAGGATTTTTTGATGTATAAAAAACAAATCAAAGAAAAGACCGTGGACTCCATTGTAATGCATTACATATCAAAAGTTCGAACTACCTCCTCTTGAATATTAATCAATCTTACGTGGGCTTCTTCTTCCCTGTTTCTATAAAAAATAAATAAATAATATCATATTTTGTCTTTATTAGAAAACCTTATTGGCTTAAACAAAAAATCTACTGATACAAATTTGTAGGTATTCCAAATCAGTCATGGCAAAGAAACAAAAAATTGGTATTGAAGTAAACAAACTCCACTACTTGAGCAATCAAAAGAAGGCCGTTCAAAAACCAATTGGTGCAATTTCTTAAAAAAACAAAACCAAATCAAACTAAACCTTGTGTTCCAATTTCTTGAATGCATATATAAAAATTAGAAAGATAAGGGAAGAGAGTACTTTAGTGCCAGTCAACACCGTAAGTGCAAAAGGCCTGACTTGGGAAACCAACACCAAAAGTGATTCCCATGCTTGTTTAATTTCCACAAGAACTGAATTAGGAAATGCAATAAAACTGGAATTCCATGTTTAGCCTAGAGCTACTTGGGGTTGCTTTTGCCCAAATGCCCTTTTCCAAATGCGGTTTTCAATTGTTTTCCATTTCAATGTTTTTTTCATTCTACCCTGAGCAAATTGATAATTTCCCAACTGCCCATCTGACACAAAATAGACAACAAACAATACAAAAAGAAATTTCTCGAACTCATAAAACAAGAACAAACATGTATTACTTAACGACCAATAACATAAAATGTAGCTGCCTAATTTTAGACTGATTCCATCTTTTTAAAGTTTATAGTCGTGGTAGTAACACTAATAAATGATAAAATTTTCTCATATTCCATTATAATTCAAGTCAGCAAACAAATAAATCACTTTGTAGTAAGTGCAAAAATAACATTTCATCATCCACATCAACATTATTAAATCCAAATGCATAGAATCGGTAGATCATAACTTTTGGCAGATAAAAGAACTTTTGAAAAGTAGCATTCAAACCAATTACAAGAACAATCACCTTTTCCACAACCAATTTTAGAATTTAATTCGCCATAAATTGTTGCCCCAACAGGCACAATGTATATATTCAGATTCAGCTAGTCTCTACACAAGTTTGATGGTTTCACAGTTCAAGATCTAAATAAAGTAACCCCCCCCCCACCCCACGGGGGACTAATATGATGATTCAAAGAAAAAAATTATCACCCAACTTAAGGGAATATTACATCTTAGAACATAGGTCAGAACCAACCTGTTTCTAGCCATCAACTGACTTGTTCAAATTTTCAAAAATTTCATACCCAAAAGAAAAAAACCAGACACGTGTGTACTTCTGTCTACATACATAATGCATACACGAGTGTGACTGTGCAGACACTTTCTATTTTATTTTCAAGCATATCACTGTTATGAAAATTAATCAAATCGATTGTGAAGAACTCGATAGATCCTTCGTCTGTAGAACATGACTGATGAAAGACTTACCGCTTTCACTGATGAAATGATGTAATCCCTCCCTGGAGGGCTCAAAACATTAGATGGCACTCTTATCCTGTAGAAATTGTCGCCTTCCAATAGCTTCTGCAATATCATAGCATCAACAGTTATTTCATTTTCTTTGGATTAGCTTATTGCATCAACGTTGCATAATGCAATAAGGGAAGATAACAAAAGAGAAAAAAGTTATGTCTCTTCTTCTTTCCTATTTTGTTTATCCTGCACTCACCATGAATGGGAAGAAATTTAGGAAGAAAATATGTGGCATAGCAAATCAATAAAAAGTTAACATAACTTTAAATAATATCTAGGTATTTTCCTACCTTAACTTTTCTCCACACTTCCTTTTCCAAACCAAACAAGGAGAAATAAATAACTTCTCCTACCTTTCCTTCTTTTTTCTCTTATTCCTTATTATTTTCTTTCTCCCACGTGAAAGATTACATAAAAGAAAAAGATGGAAAATGTATATATGGATATGATGAATTACCTTGAACTTTTCCTTCTCTATTTCTGTAAAAGCCTCCCTTGAAAACCTAAGTTTGGTAAGAGTCTGTTACAAGTAACCTATAACATTAAACTACCAAAGGAATGGAAAAACACGAAAATCAAGTATACATAACAAACAAAAAGAAATAAGAAATGGTGAATTCTAATAATGAAAAAATAAAAATAAAAATTGTCAAAAAAATTTATAACTTCTCTTCTAAGGAGCCCTACACATAACAAACAATAAGAGTATTTTTCTTATCTACAACTATTAACAATCCCACTTTCATAAACTTTTATCAAATCTCCCTTAACCACCTCCTAACAATCTTGGAAGACAGAAATAATAAAGCCATCCGGTCCCGTTATTTCTCTCTCACGCAATCAAAAACTACTTCTTTAACTTCCAATTCTTAAAATGGCGTTTCAGGCCAAGAGGACCTCCCACTAGCTAATTGAAAACCACTCAACTCAAGATCCTCAATCCCTAGTCTCACAGCCACACCCAAATATTACAATTTCGAATAAAAGAAAAATACTTCATTGACAATTTACTCTTCTCTCACCACAATACTTGCAAATTCTAACTCCAATCCCTTATGGTGTGTTTGGTTGAGGGATTTGGGAAGGGATTTAGAAAGGGAAAGGGAAAAGGTGTGTGAAACTAGTTGAAATGTAGGTATATTTTATTCACATTTCACCTAACTTTTCCCTTTCTCTTTCCAAATCCCTCCTCAAATCCCTCAACCAAACACAGCGTTAATGAATTTCTTTTTCCTCTTCTCATTTTGCCAGTGACCATGAGTACACTAGGAGAAATAGGAGGAGCAATGAAAGAGTCTATATAACACTGAATAAGACTCATTAGAGTAAGACAACCATTCCACTTTGCATTGATTTGATGAATATTCTTTTCCTACACCCAAATATTACAATTTCAAATAAAAGAAAAATACTTCATTGACAATTTACTCTTCTCTCACCACAATACTTGCAAATTCTAACTCCAATCCCTTAATGAATTTCTTTTTCCTCTTCTCATTTTGCCAGTGACCATGAGTACACTAGGAGAAATAGGAGGAGCAATGAAAGAGTCTATATAACACTGAATAAGACTCATTAGAGTAAGACAACCATTCCACTTTGCATTGATTTGATGAATATTCTTTTCCTAACGTCTCAATAAGCAATACCACATAACATTCAAAGTTCAGTTCCCTTCCACTCACTCTCCTGATTTTCACTGTAGCATCACACACTAAAAGATAATCCAAAGTAACAAATTATATACATAGTATATACACAATTGAATTCCATCTCTCACACACACCAACAAAGTAACTGTCACAAAATCAAAGCAAAATCAATCAAAAATCTGTATCCATACCCGGTAAAACAAAACAAAAAGCAAAATTTAAATCCCAAAACACAAAATTAAAAAAAGAAAAGCATAATATTTGAACATTCTTTTTTCTGCTTCCAATTTTCTAGGCAACCAAACAGGAAGATAAAAACAGAGGACCTGTCCACCGTGAGACCAGGTCTTGAGGCGAGCAGTGAAGGTGCCGGCGGGGGAGAAGTCGGAGTCCCCAAAGGCGTGCTCGAGCGGGAACTGGACTTTGGAGTCCGGATCCGATGATTTGGTTCGGGCCGGGCTAGTTGGCTGTGAAGGAGTAACAGTAGCAGGTGGAGGAGGAATGGATCGGGTGGGGGTGGTGAGTTGGAGATCAGGAGGAGATCGGGCCCCTTCGAGCCCGAACTCTTCGTCGTCGAGCAAAAGTTCGTCGGATTGAAAAGCCAACGAAGACGATGATAAACACATTGATATCACTACTATCGTTGTTATTAAGAACCAGTAGTGTCCATTCTTTATTCTCGTCATCGTCCCAGAAAGTGGCAGGAGAGAGAGAGAGAGAGAGGTGTTGGTGTTGGTGTTGGTGTTGGTGGTCTAACGTTCCACCATGGATCCTCTAGAGTGAAACTTGCCAGTAAATCTCAACCACACAATGTAACACTCTAAGAAACTTTAGGGAAAAATCACTTTAGAGGATCCTTGCTCCTAACGTTCAGAGTTGTGACTGACTTTGAGGGACCTTTCTTCGTTGCTTAAAATAGTTAATAAAAATAAAATAAATAAAATTGATCTTAACGTAATATGTTATATTTAATTTATAATTATTTTATTTATTTTTTTATAATTAAAAAATAATAATTATCTATTCAGGCCTCGTTTGGTAATAGACTATTTTAGTAATTTTTTGATTTTTTGACTAAAATATAAGATAAAAAAATAGTATGTTTGTGTGACTTTTTGACTTTTTACGAAAAGATGTGCAAAAAATAGAGAGAAAATATACTCTTTGACTTTTTTGTATAAATTATAGACTTTTTAATTTTTTTAGTAACTTTTTAATTTTTAAACTAAAACAGCTACTTTTCAAACGAAGTCTCCGGCACAAATTATTTAATTATGTCAAAATAGTTATAAATAATTAAAATAACTAACTTTCTAAACAGGCGAGTAAGAGCATCTCCAATGGATGGCTAAATCAGCTGCCAAAGCCATAATATAGCAACTTGGGCAATCTTGGCTTCTCCAATGGCATGCTATAACAGCTGCCAAATTTGGCAACTGCCAAATCATGTGGATGACAAATTTGTCAATCTGTCACCTGCCATGCGGTTTTTATTTTACCCCTAAACTACATCGGCAAACACTACGCACACGCCTAGTAGTTAGGTAGTCTTATGATGCTTGTGGTGGTTGTGTGGTAGCAGAGTAGTGGTTTTCGTGATAGTGATAGTGATAGTGTGATTTCTGTGAAGTTGGTGGAAGTGATGATAAAGTAATGGTTGTGCAGACAGAAGCAGTGGTAGTGGTGATGGAACAGTGATAGTAGGGTAGTGATTCTAGTAATGGTAATGGTGGTGGTTTGATGATAATGTGACAACGACAGTAATAGAGTGGTGATTATATGATGGTTGTCTCACCGATTCTGGTTAATAATAGTTGATTTCCTAATAGGTAAAAAGTGATCATGTTAAAAAGTAAGACTAGCTGTATTTTTTATTTTTTTTAATTTCAAAAGAGATGAGTGTATAGAAGAATTCTAATATACACACTATTGAAAATGGTGTACCATATGTATCTCTAGTTATACCATTTTATTCTTTAGTCATGATACCATATATATCTCTTATTATACCATTTTCTTCTTTAGTCATGATATTATTTTAGTTATGACTCATGAGTTCTGTAATTATGTCTCATATTGTGTTTAATTATGACAATTTTTTTAGTTATAACTTAAAAAGTATGAAATTATGTCATTTACTTTTTTAGTTATAAAGTGTATATAGTACGCACCTTTTGAAGCGTTTGCACGATAGTCTTTCTCGAGTATATATTAATGTACATGTATAAAAAAATACAATGAGTTTACACACCATTGCACTGCTCCTTTCTCTATCATATTAAGAGTATCTCCAATCCACTAAGCATATAATACTTGTTAGTCAAAATGTATAATATGACTCACTTTTTTCAACTCCAATGCTCTAGGCATATGATTAGACATTTTAGTTCAACTCACATTCACTAGTTATATGTGGCTAGCCTTTGAAGGTTAGGCAAAATGTATTCAATCATTAGGATCATTTCTCTCTATCTTTGTTGTTGACGTGGCATTCTATAAAATTAATAGTATTTGGATAAATAGCCAAAATAAAGAGTGTGGTTTGGAGTAAAAATATACAACAGTTGATAGGCAAAATAAAATATATACTTTATAGTATTATTAGATAGGTAAAATGCCTACTACCGTTGGAGATGCTCCGAGGAACCTTTCTTCGTTGCTTAAAATAGTTAATAAAAATAAAATAAATAAAATTGATCTTAACGTAATATGTTATATTTAATTTATAATTTTTTTTTTTTTATAATTAAAAAATAATAATTATCTATTCATGCCTCGTTTGGTAATAGACTATTTTAGTAATTTTTTGACTTTTTGACTAAAATATGAGATAAAAAAATAGATGTTTGTGTGACTTTTTGAATTTTTACGAAAATATGTACAAAAAATAGAGAGAAAATATAATCTTTGACTTTTTTGTATAAGTTATAGGCTTTTTAATTTTTTTAGTAACTTTTTAATTTTTAAACTAAAACAGCTACTTTTCAAACGAAGTCTCCGGCACAAATTATTTAATTATGTCAAAATAGTTATAAATAATTAAAATAACTAACTTTCTAAACAGGCGAGTAAAAGCATCTCCAATGGATGGCTAAATCAGCTGCCAAAGCCATAATATAGCAACTTGGGCAATCTTGGCTTCTCCAATGGCATGCTATAACAGCTGCCAAATTTGGCAACTGCCAAATCATGTGCCAAATCTGCCAAGTCACCCAAAATTAAACTGTTTTCTTCTTTTCCTCCTTTCCTTTCGGTTGGGATTTTCCAGAATGCATGAAGTTTTTTATAAAAGAAATGAAATTCACCATGTCGTTTAAAACATAAATCATCATAAATTAATCAGAATGAACAAGAATTTCAGTAAATTCATCAATATTCATACCAAATTCATCAAGAATTTCATCAAATTCATCAATATCAATATTCACAAATTCATCAAGAATTTCAGCAAATTCATACCAAATTCATCTTCAAAAATTTCTCCAATACCAATATTCACAAATTCATCAAGAAAAATACCTGGATGATAGAAGGTTGATCCGAAGGTGGATGATCTGGTGGTGGATGAGAGAAGGTTGATCCGAAGAAGAGAGAGAGAGAGAGAGCTTCGGGTGAGAGAAGATGAGAGGGTTAGGGCTTCGAGGGATAGGGGTAGGTGGATGATCCGAAGCTCTCTCTCTCTGATCTTCACTGATCCGAAAAAGAGAGAGAGAGAAGGCGAGAACTAGAGATGAGAGGCTAGAGACACTGATCCGAAGTGATTCGAAGGATAGAGACACTGATCCGAAGTGTTTCGAAGTGATCCGAGAAACAGGGGAGAGAGAAGGTGATCTTCACTGATTCCAAGTGTTTCAAAGCTCTAGAGGATAGAGACACTGATCCGAATGATAAAGACACTGATCCGAAGTGTTTCGAAGTGATCCGAGAAACAGGGGAGAGAGAAGGTGATCTTCACTGATTCCAAGTGTTTCAAAGCTCTAGAGGATAGAGACACAATTTCAAAGCTCACTAATCCGAAGTTCAATGGGCAGAGACACAGAGATGAGAGGATAGAGACACACAATTTCATTTATTGCTGAGATCCATGTGCTACTTTATTCATTAAAAAAAATTAAATAAAAACATAAGTGAAATATATCCACAACGGCTCTTTTTATGTTAAAACGGCTATAAAAAAAATGGCTTTTTTTTTCCCTATAAATACAAACATTCTCTCCTCTTTTTTTACTCAATTTCATTTCACAACAAACTTTCTAAATTACATTTTTATTTATATTTTATTTACACAATCGGTATGGGAGGTTCATCAAAAATAAAGAGAGGAAAATCATTCACCGTTGCTGAAGATATGGCACTTTGTAAAGCTTGGTGTCACATTTCTGAAGACCCAATTGTTGGCAATTCACAATCTTAAATTCACTTTTTGGGGAGAATTTATGAAAATTATTGCTCCCTTTAGAATGATCAGTCAAGAACACAAGTTTCTATCCAATCTCGATGGGATACAATCATGAAATATTCTAACAAATTTCGTGGATGTTTAGCGCAAGTCGAAAATCTACACCCAAGTGGGATGTCTCAAGTTAATCTAGTAAGATTTCATCTTTATTTATTACGTTAGTTTTTTATTTTATTTTATTTCGTCTCATATAAAAATTAAATAATTACTTAATTTAATATTTTATTAATGCAGACGCTTCAAACAAAATTTTTATATCATCAAGATGAAAAGAAACATTTTTCTTTTGAGCATTGTTGGTCAATCTTGCAAAATAATATCAGGTGGCAAGATGTGGCTCCTACAAATACGGTGAAGTCAAGGATACATACATTGTTTTTCTCCTGATTTAGCCCCCGATTCCCCTATGGATAACTGCATTTTTCTTGAAGATGACACCAGTCCAAGTGTTGGTAACAATCCAACTGTCGGTGAGGGCAGTGTCTTTGAAAGGGGTAAAAGGCCTATGGGTAGGAAAGCTTCAAAAGAATTATTTCGGAGAAATCAAGTGGTTGAAGCTGAAGTCCAAAAAATGAGCATACAATTGAAGACATTTAACCAACACCTTACTGAGAAGAAAAAGAAAAAAGATGAAAGAGAAGAAAAAAGAATTCAAGCATTGCAGGAAATGAAAGAACTTGAAATCAGGAAAGAAGAACATGAGATAATGACTACGGATATTTCTCTTTTGGACCCTTAGACAAAAGCATATTACACAATGCGAAAAAATGAGATTTTCGCCAAGTGGTCCTCAAATGTCAGCAGCCCAAATTACTATTTCTCCATCCCTCCCAATGAATAATTACGGGATAATGTATTTTTAAATTTAGCAATGTCATTTAATTTTTAATTTGTAATTTTTAATTTGGATGGTTGTTGGTGGTTGGTTGTTAGTAGGTAATTGGTGATTATTTATTTTTTATGTGTAGTTAAAAAAATTTATTAAATATGTAGTGATATATTTTTTGATGGGGTGAATTAATCAAATAATTTTTTTTTTCCAATTTTTCATTTTTTTGTTTTTATATTTGTCTAGTTGGAAATAATATAAATATATAATTTTTTTAACAAACAGGTAAAAAAATGTCACAAAAGTTAAAAAATAAACAAAAATAAAATCACAAAAAAACCTATAATCAAACAACACCTACAAACTTGGAGGAAAAGTTGGTTGAGATTTGTCAAAAATAGCAAATAACCATTGGAACACCATTGCTATAATTTGGCAAAATATCACTATTTATTGCCAAATTATAGCAATAACAATAG